CTGCTAGAGACAGTAACATCAGACCAGCATTTCGGTTTTAGGGTTTCCTTGCATTTTCTGCAGTACCACACAGCCTCTACTTAGCACACAAAGCTCCACCTTCTTTAAGCTTGTGATTCTGAAGAGTATGACCACCCTCTTTCCAGCCTTGCAGGAGCAGGTTTTCATTTCCTTTTCTTAGAAATTGCCATATTCGCACAACCACAAAAGACACTCATCTGGTGACAGAGTAGGCAAAGAGCATCCTAATATGCTATGCAAGGACAGTTGATTTGATCTACACATCTCAATTTGCTACTTTTCTGTCACTTGCCCCCTTGGAAAAGAACACTGACAATTTTGAGAAGTCATGATATTGATGACAGTTTCAAACACTGAGGCTGGTTATTAGAAATTTCATAAACCTCTAAGGAAATAAGTGTTTTGCAGGGAATTGTATATGCTCATACAAGGGTATTTCACAGCCCACTAAGTCACTACAGTATCTGTATAAAGAAGACACAGAAAAGCAGTACATGAGATTATCTGTAGAAGTACAAAGAAATTATGAACTTCTGTGCTATATCACATCTCTCTCCAAAAGTGTATTTATTAGTGAAAACGTAGCCAGCTGCCAGAGGAAAAGAGATGAAAGCAAATGACCATTCCCAATGCCATCCTGCTATTCTGCCACAGACACAATATCAAAAGCAAAAAAAGGAACTTGCTGAGACAGGCACATTTCCTACAGCAGAAGAGTCAGAGATCTTATAAATGTTTTTTTTTTAAAGCATTTATAAATTAGTATTTGTAAGAGTGAACAGTACTTCCACAAACAAACAGATTAGCAGTTGGTTGACACATGCCAGCATAAGCAGGAGGTTTCTTTTAGAAAACAAGACCTGGATCAACACGCTAACTTTTGTTGTGCAAGACTTTCAAAGGGAAGGAAAGACAAGAGAAAACATGTCCAGTGGCCACAAATTAGGCCCAGTTCTTGGCTCCAATTAGATATCAATTTCCAAAGGACATATGTAGGCTGAAAATACAAAGGAGCGACTTAAACCACATTTGTGTGAAATATTCAGCTGCACGAGACACTCAATGACAATCTGCTTCTGTGTAGCTGCCTGGGATATCCTGGGATTGCTCCTTGGACAGAGAATCTTAGAAATCGCGGCAGCAGACTACATGCAAGAGAGAAAGAGGCAAAATAAAAAACCTAAATGAAAAACCACATTTCTAATCGTCCTGTGGCTATTGGGACACATTTAGATCATTCTGTATAAGACTATAAAACTGAAGGAAAATTGGATAGGTATAATGCTAGAAGAATTATGGTAATTTGGGCGTAAGAATAACCATAAAAACTAACAGGAAGGACAGGAAAAAGTTCAAGCCAGTCTGAGGAAAAAACTTGGTAGTCAAAAACTTATCAGCTGAAAGCACTAAAAGAAACATTTTCGACAGATACGGATGACACTGGAAGCTGAAAAAAAGAAGCCCAAAAATAAACCCCCCTCTACTCTGCTTTCTGCAGATAAACCCAATGAGTCTCCTACTGGCTGCAATTTGCAAGTAGGAAGAAAATTCCCCTCAGCAACAAGCATATGCGATATCCCAAGTGAGGAAGAAGGCAAATCCGTAATTTTTTCACAGAAGCCTCTGTAATTTGATCCTGCCAGCTTACACACAATCTTTCCCCTTAACACTGTATTCTAGAGGCACAATTTTAAGAGAATTTTGCACATAGAAATGGAACACATTCTGAATTAATGATGCTAAATAAACTTACATTTTGAAAACAAAGTTTTCCTGTTTTACTCCCATCATTAATACTTGTTCAAAGCAAGCCCTGCCTTTTGCAGAGGAAATGTCACCACTCCAGCACCTTCACACAGGATAGAAACAGTTTTAGTTGGACACAGGGTTATGTGACTGCAAAGAAACCTAGTTTTAAGCTGAGAGAAACCGTGTAACCCAGACTTCATTTTCCATGGCTGCCACCCATCCCAACCGATGTGGGCATGCTGGCAGAGACCTCCATACCATGGACTAAACTTAAAATCTCACACATACGAATGGCCATAAAAAGAAACACAATTTTACATCAGCAGGATTCAGCACTACAGAAAAACTAACTAGAACCATCTGAAAAAAAATAAATTAAATCCAATCCCTTGAATATTTCCTGGCTTAGAAGGTTTATGAATTAAACCAAATTCCAGCAATTAAAAGTTTTGATTTGGTGTTAACACATGTATTCTCCACTGTGATATGGTGAGGGGAGATTTTCCTCAGAGAGAGTAGTGCAAGCAGGGCATTTCTTTCAGTCAGAGCTGAAGGAGTTAAAGCGTGCAAGTGAAGAGGAAGCGAAAGAGCTGGCAACCTTTAGGTTTTATCACATGCAAAATAACTGCAGCATTACAAATCTACAACTCCAGTAAAATGAACTGCACCCTTTTGGGAACAAAGCTATGTGTAGCAAGAATGCCTGTCCAAAGAACACAATATAATACGCCTCAGTTTGAAAAACTGCCTAAACCTTTTCTCTTTTGCATATAGCTTGCTGTCCAGATTTCTAACATACTCTTGTCAAAGCAGCAAGCTCAGGACATCCCAGGCAACTAGAGTCTGTCTAAGCACTGAACACTTTATATACAAAAAGATCCACATAACAGAAAACTCAATTTTACAAAATAAAGAAGAATTTGTATAAGCATCACTCCAAAGGCAAAGCATTTAATCACAGCCATAGCAGAAGTTGTAGATTTTGTTTAAAAGTGGAGCTGAGACGCTAACAATTAAGATACAGCTCCTTAGGACAGCAATCCTTGCTTTTACAGAAAAAAAATTACAGCAAATTAGCAGTAATGGTTTGTTTCTCACCACAGCATTGTATTTATTAGTCAAAACCACAGCACACAAATACACTGTTTACTTACACACCTGCCCATCCACACAGCAATACTTCAGTATCTCAAAGTATGTGATGACAAAGTACCCAAAGAACCCGTGCTGTAACCTTGCATAGCCACTGAAGCACCACCTCCAGCTTTACAAATGGAAACCTTCACTCAAGGCCCCAAAATGTACATGGGCAGACTGATTCTCATTATGGAATAAAGCATGAAACAAGCTGAAGAGTGCAGCCCATAATGGCTCCAGACCATGCCAAACACTAAGGCAACAAGTGACCAAGCCTTGCTTTCCTCAGTCCTGCACAAGCACTGCAACCTTTCCTTCCTGAGCTAGAGGTAAAATATTTGTTTAACCAAATAGCAGTGGCAAGCAGCAGAGACAGCAACACAGAACAGCAATGGTGTAAAAAAGTGAAATGATCACAACAGTGCCTGCACTGGATGAGATGTATGCAATCTGATGTTCTGCATTACATCAAAATACAAAGACCTAAATAACTGCAATAACAATTGGAACATTTTGTTTTTAAATTTAATAGGTTGAAATTACATCTACAGTTCATTCATTTAAAGTTTATGAGAACAAATATTTTAACTGCCTGAAAACAGTAAAGGGGAAATCAGTAAACATGCTTCATTAACTATCATGCCAGCAACTGTGTAGGAAAACTGGATCTATCAACTGCATCTATAAAAAGAAGTGTATATTAATTTATTCCAAAAATTTCCATTTAAGAAATAAACCAAATCTTGTATTAAACACTTTTCCCAATTAGATTTTTCCTCAGTATTACAACATCTCTCTGCTTCATCTATCTGGTGCAAGAATTTAATTCCCAAGTCACATCACTATCATGTTCCATCCCACGAAGTAACAGAGACAATCATTTTTCTGCTCTTTCCTACAATGACAGCACTGCCAAAGCAAGAGCTTTTCCTCCTCCTCCTCCTCTCATTTTTGGTGTCTCTTCTTGAAGCTTTACCAGCTTTCAGTCTCATTTTAGAGCCTTAGAAAAGCACGAAGCTTGTCTGCAAAGCAGTACCCTGGAGAAGTCAGAGGTGACAAACTGAATAGGTAACTGTTAGTGTGCTATAAGAGTGTAAATGCTCTGTGAGCTGCAAGATGTTTTTAGCACACCTTAGAAGATCAAGGAGGCTAAATCAATATTTATCTTAAATGTCCTCATATACACTCATGACAAAGCAAAGAAGGGCTATTCGCATTAACAGAAGAGAGGCAAATTAGTGCAAGGTAATTTAGTACAAGGGGGTTTTAACAGTTTGAGAAAAAAATATTAGGAAAAAGTAGATAGTTCATTTTGCGCAACTCCTCAACTCCACTCGCCACCGCAGGTGTCGAGACACAGGCTGTGGAAGCTGCTCAGTAACATGCCCCAGAGCGCCCTGGGCTTCCTTGCGTGGATGTCACGCCACACCCAGGCCACTTCCTTGCTATGGGTGGGCGGCAGACACCCGGGACAGGGTTTTGTTCCGTCTCATCACAGCGATGTTTCCTAGCGTCTCTATCAGTAAAAACAATAATGAACGATTAAACTGCCTCCTCTCCCGCTAGGCAGTCGTTCAGGACTATTAACACCACACCGTTCTAAATGCCAGCAGATCTTTAAAGTCATTGCGCCTTCATGCTTCCTATTCACAGGACCTCTGGGACTTCCTAAAGCCACGAGAAGCTCAGAGGCAGGTGGACTCCAGCGTACACGGCAGCACCACGACAGCCCGCAAGGAAAACTTTTTTTTGGCGCTCCCGTTTTACTTCCCGCTGTTTACAGCGGCAGCCTGTGAGTCACCCACTGTTCTCCAACCAGCCCGGGGCACGGGCCCCCAGCCCGGCCGGCGCTGCGGCTCCTCCCGCCGCCTGAGCCACCGCCGCCCCGGGGAGCGAGGCAGCGGCGGGACGGCCCCGCGGCGGAGCCTCTCCGGCCCCAGCCCCGTAGGGCTGACAGTCCCCCCAAGTTTTGTCCCTCTTCCCGGGGGGAAGGCGGGCGAGGGGCCAGCAGGCACGAGGGGCAGTTCCGCCTCTTTCCGCCGCTGTCCCGCGGGGAACATCGCCCGCCGCCCGCTCCCTGCACCCCGTCTTACCTGAGGCGCCGAGGGCGACGGGCGGTCATCCCGCCTGCCCAGCGGCACCGGGAGCAGCCACTTGCTCCGCACCGCCCTCCCCAGCCCCGCCAGCATGGTCCTACACCTCCTCCTCCTTCTCCTCCTCCGGCCGGGAGCGGGCCGCCCGCGGGCGCTCCCGGCAGCGGCTCAGCCTCGGGGCGGGCGGCGCCCGCTCCTCGCCGGGCGTGGGCGAGCCGGAGAGGAGGTGGCTTGTGCGCTTTTCCTCTGCTCCTTCCCGCCCAGACCGCGGAGGGGCCAGGCCGGGCCGGACGGGGCGGTCCCGGGCAGCAGCGGCCCGCGTCTGTCGCTGTTATCGCGGTGGGCGAGGAGGCGGCCCCGCCGGGCCCAACCCACCGGCCCTCGGCTACAGGTGCCGGTCCCCCCTCTTCCTGTAAATGAGACTAAAATAGCCGTAATTGTCTGTCCTACCAGAACACCTGGCTTTTCTGTTGCTGAGCTATTGCCTTTTTTTTTTCCAAGAACACGACTATCGCTGCTCCTGGGTTTCAGTGAAATGAACACATTCCGGTGCCACAAAAATGATCAGCAAAACACAAAAGACGCTCGGAGTTTGCTATTTTACATGAGAGTTTTGTTTACAGCAGTAAAACAATTAGCAAGGCTTAACCCTTTCCTATTCAGTCGTTCGTTCGAGCTCACCTGTTTGATATCATCAACATGCCCATAAACACAGGTTTTCACTTTCAGTACAAACCACGGAAGTGCATCAGCCCCATGGCAGCAGATCAGGGAAACATAGAGGGAAGTGCTGCATTCCTCTGTTTCCTCTGCCTTTTATGATGTTCCTCCAAAGCAATGCTGCACAAAACAAAACACCTTTACCTGATGATGACAAAAGGATCTTAGCAAATGGGCTGTTGCAGATCTGAAAGTGTGTCACTATCACAGGAAAAAAATCCACATCTGATTGCACGCTTGATGGCTCTGAGGGACTAAATAAGACCCCATTTCTGTCCGTCTTCTGAGCTCTAGGAGAGAAACCTTAGGCAGCTAAGATCACACAGACATTCATTCACATTTTGGGGTCACTGTGATCTATTAAAGTGAATGTGATCCCAGGAAACAGCAGAAGAAGAGCAGCTGCAGTGTTAACAGGCAGTGATTCCCAAAGACAACAATTTGTGCTAGTCACAGTTAACATTTACCATAATTATTTACCCAAATTTTATTGGAGCAATTTTTCTTTAGCAAAAGTAAGAGTTAATTTCTCAACCTAGGTACAGGGAAGCCAGAGTCCTTTTCCTCATCCTCTGACTTGTTTCTTCCATCACAGTACTTTTAATGCTTCCTTGTTTGTTCACAGGTATCTTTCCAGAGCTGGAGGGTAAGGGAGAGAGAGCAGAAAAATTTTGATGACAAAACTTAAATGTTCCCCAGTAATACCAAATCTACAGCAGACATTTTGAAGTTCTCCCTCTAAGGTTGTCCTCCTTCAGTCACTGATTTCCTACTACTACTTCCAGCATACTCCTGGAACAAAATTTTCTAATTTTCTAATTAAATTTTTCTAATTTCTAATAAAATTTTCTAATGCATCTTACTTGAAAACCAATAGCTAAAGGTTTTTTAACTCTTGCATACCACAGTTCAAAATAGAAAATGGAATGGAATAAAATTATTTTATACATCTTTTCAAAACCATGTCTATGCTGAAAGATTTATCTTGCATCTGGTGATGAAAAGCTGCTGCAAAATCTCTCCCCTTCAGCAGCAAACATGAGCTAAGATCTCAAGCCTTGCTTGAGGAACTGCCTTTACAAGTCATTAGTAAACAGCCTGAATTTTCCCCAAAGACACAAGAATGAAACCCAAACTTCTGTGTTTTCGTAAAGTTTTTTTGCTCCTTTTGGACATGGTATCAACACTGTGCCACTTAATTTAAAGATAAACTTTTTCACCAGGAAAAACTATGTTCCCTCCCCGTGCACAGAGAGAAAAAAGATCTCTCTTCAAAGTATATAAGAGATCATTGCAAAATATTAGCTCTGCCAGTACTAACATACTAATCCTCCTTCTCTAGTAAAGAGTGAAATGAGACCTATCACCAACTCACACAGAACGCAGACAAAAGCTCTGTATTTTTCATAGAGCCCGTAAGATCTCCTAGATAAATTGCTGGAAGGTATGACACCCTATAGGGAAATACCTGGATTCCAATTACAGAGATAAATTCTTACTCTAGGAATGAGAAGTGCTTAGTGCTAGTGCCAGGCAGAGGATCATAAATTACATTCTTATTACAGAGTTGCCAGTCTGTCTAAATTGTACTGGAGTATTAAGTCAGTAGAGCAGAGGCCTGAGTCGTGATTAAAGGGATTCACAGTCAACATTTTTTCCTCCTTCTTCTGAGTCTTTTTACTGTGTCTCTTAATTTGCTTATATTTTCTTATATGCTTCCTCTGGCTTGTAAATATCTCTTTTATGCATAAATTATTAAAAAAATAATTATCACGTTTAGAAACAATACAGGCATGACACAGAGGATCACTTGTGTCTTGATAGGCACAAAAGCCTCAAAAAATCACAGCTAAGCAGTAAGCTATTATTCAGGTTAGGGCTGCACACACAAACATGGCTTGCACTGGGCAGGAAATCAATACATAGAATATGTATCCCCCAAAGGTTCAGATGAAGAAAGAACTGGCCTAAAAGGGAAAGGCTGCAGCTTGACATGGAAATAGACCTCAGGGTGGCAACAGGCCAACTCACTATGAATTCACTTAGAATGGCATCTGTGGCAAAGACTACTGTTTGTGTATGCTAATTAATATTAAGTATTCCCAATACAACTTTAGCAGCCCACTAGGCCTTTGTGCAGCAGGTACGAAAACCAATGTAGCTTTTCAGTGAAGAGCCTTCCTTACAACCTCAGGGTCCCAAAGAGCAGAGTCCTGCTAGTTTCTAGGTCTCTATCACTAACATCTTTTCTGGCGGATAAAATGAAGTTTATATTTCCCATCCCTCAAGGTGCTGGGCACTCACAACGCTGCAGGCAGCTGAAACAACAGGCATGGTTTGTACAGGGAGACGTGAATGCCAGAGGCATACTTTGAAATTTGCTGAGTTTATTTGGCTGTCCAGTTGTGAATACCTGTGTCTCAGGACAAGCAGTGGCATAAACTGTTGCCACTGACAAAATGGAGGCGGTGGGAGAGTAGGGGGACAAGGCAAAACTTCCCCTTTAGGCACCACTAAGCAGGGAAATCAGCCTAACCTGCCACTGGAGCCACAGGTCCAGTGAAATACACAACCAACATAACAGAAAGATATGGGTGGAGAGCTCCCCGTTTAGAGTTTCAATTCTGGAGTCATTCCAGGCCCAGCTCCTGCTCAAGGCAGGGCCATCTGTCATCAGAGAGCAGCAGCACGATGTAAAAGTTCAGCTGTTCCCTCTTCCCTTGATACACCAGCCGGGCAGAGCTTCAGACATTTTCAGGCTCTTTTCCCTTTTGTATCAGTCTGTCAGAGACTGAGCTCAAACCTTTAGCTTGGCACCTGCAGTATTAAAAAGAAAGCTTAGAAAGTGGCTTTCCTCACTCAGGAAGCCTTAATGACCTATACTACACCGCTGCATGACTGATGGCTTAAAATATGAGCACATGCAAATTTAATGTCATCGGTGTTGGATAGGAAGCAATAACTGTTCAGAACACAGCACAATCCTGGTGACAGCACCTCAGTTAAACCTCTGCCTAAGAACTCAGTGCTAGTATCTGAGAGTTAGTAATAGCTATGCACAGTTTGACACACTTCACTCAAATACACAGAAGACTATAATCAAGAACTGTAATCAGAAGAGTGCAATCAAAGTGAAAGAGGGGAACTGAAATAAATACTCTACAGTCCAAAAACTGCAAATAACACTAACAAATGACTCCTAGAATAAGCATAAACATTCACCACACTAGAGAAAGTCATGCACATCTTGATACGCAAGTTCTTTTTCTTAGTTTGTCATTTTACATTACACATTGCAAATGACCACTAGAGCTGAGCACAAACGAGTCACAACCATATTCATTTTAAAAATTCTGACATCCTGTTTTATGTAGATATTCAGGGATCTGAGCATCCACTCCAACCCCCATCCCTCCCCAGAACGTTGTACTCCATCTGCCTGTTTTGCAGAGTACGTTTGTGCAAGGGTTTTGTGGTAATGTTCTTCGGATGAATAATAGTCCTCCTTTCCTTTGAAGTGATATCATGTTGTCTGCCTTGTTATTGTTTTAGGCTAAGGAAGAAAAACTGCCAGGAGCATAGCAATGTATTGGAGAAAAGGCTTGTTTCTAAGCCATTTTACATTTGAGTCACGTAAAATTCACAAGTTAAAGCAGAAGGACATTCCTAGAAGTCCTAACTCTTGCTTCAGGAAGTCATGCAGTCTTGCCTAGACCTTTTCCACAACATGCATAGTTTCTATGTGATTTTGGTCCAGTTGTCTTTTTAAGGCAAATGCTAAACTTTGAAGTAAGGAGCTGAAAAATTCTGCTGAATTTAGGAAACTGCCACTGAGGAGGACCAACAGTTCACAGGTTTCTGGTTTGTTTTGGTTTTTTTAAACTTCTCTAGGAAGCCATAACACAAACACATACACACTTATTTAAAGACCTGGATATTACTGGTTAACAAACTTTGTGGTAACAAGAAGTTAGGATGAAAAAGAGTAGAAAAGGGAAAAGGTTGGTGATTTACCTTTATGTAAATCAGTTCATGCAATACCGTCTGTAGTACCTTGCATAGTACCATGCACCTTATCTCAAGTATAGTCTTATCCAGTGGTGTCGGAAGAACAGATGAACACCATCAGAAATTTAAACACACAGAGAAACTTAGAAAAACCTTAGAAAATGCCTTAGAAAGTAAATTAAGGAGAAGACATAACAGTGTACTGAAGAAAGAAGGGTATAGAGCAGTTTACTACCTCCTGTTCTCTCCACCTCAAGAAGCTACAGAGCATTTAGCATCTCTCAGAAAGAAGAAAAAAAACTTTTCTCCGCAGGTAGTTAGATTGCAAAACCTTTCACTAGAAGAAATTATTCAATATATGGTCAACAATACTCACTTATTCCGATTAACAAAAATGCTGACAGGGTTTTACATACCAAGCTGATCTCTAAATACATACGGTAGAGACGTGACTTGGGATAGAACAGCTTACACACTAGGGCTTTCTCAAGTTTCACCCTGACCATCGGATACCAGTTACTCTTAAAGGAGACAGGATGTCAGAGAAAGTGAATGGGCAACTCTGCTCGATGATCCAGCTGTGGTATGATGGTGATGGAGCAGCTGACAGAGCCCTTGTGCGCTGCTTTCCTCAACGGCTGCGTTCCTCCTGCAGAACCAATCCATGTGCGCTGCTAGAGATGCCAGAGGCATGGCTGCAGAGGCAGTTTCCACTCTTTTTCCAGGAACTTAAAAATTTCAAAATGTGTTTAGAAGGCTGAAAGATTTCACACTCGCTCTCCAAGAATAAATTATTCTTTCATGTAAAGAACAGTTTTGGTAATTAGTTTCGATGAGGGGAAAGGGGAAGCTTGGAAACTCAGATGGCTTTTTATTTTAAATAAACATATAAGGCACTTAGAAATACAGCCATATTGCAAGAAATTGCTAAACTTGATAGACAGTCAAAACACCAATCTTTCTGAAGCTCTGCACATGCTCAGCAAGCTGGATGAAGACATCCAGCATGTATAGCACTGATTCTACTTTTACTTTTAGTCCTGGCTTCTCTTAACCTTTATTTCAGATAATGAAGGCATTGAATTCAGCTGCTAAAAAGAAAGAGAAGAGCAGAAAGAATTCCTTAGCTATGGATGACTGCTACATATTTTACTTTTTTTCTTTGCTTCTGCATTAGGTGATAACTTTTAGTAACATTTTATATTCATAAAAGCTGAAATTTACAGCCTGCAGAAATATTTGAAAGCATCATATCTACAGAAGTTGTTAACAATAAGAAGTATTTTCCTAAATGTTACTTTCCCTCCCCAAATGATTTTCTAACATTAAAACATTTTGTTATTTTTTAAACATATTTTCAAATAATATAAGAGTAGTATTTCCAATGGCTAACAGATTACCAAGATGGTTAATTATCACCAACTCTTTCTCATGCTTGAGGATTCTTATGCCAATAATCACTTCACTCAAGAATCCCACAAAGGCTCAGTGTCTTGCAAGCAGAGGCTTTCTACTCACACTGATAAACACAAGAAAAATCGTATTATACTAATTGCTAGCCTAACAGTACTTCCTTCCAACACTCCTCACCTGTGTAAAATTCCCACTTTTCTTTGAATGGTAACATGATTAAGGGTGTAACTGGAGATCCGTGTTTGCTGATGCCTCTAGGATAGGCTTCTCTTAACATCTGAAAAATCAAATAAAACCCTCACAAATAGCTTTAAGAAAATATAAACCAGATAATCATAAAGGTGAACAAGTGCAAGAAAAAGGATTAAAACTCATTCTCCTTTTCAAAATTGCTTTTTTTAAACAGGTTGTCTGCCATCTCCTCTATTTATCTTCTGTAGTGTGCACCTGCTAAAATCTTGTGCATGACTGATACTCCTAATAAGGCAGCTCCATCAGTTTTGCTAAGGACCCTCAAAGGAAAATAAGAAATTCTGTGAAGTATTTGACTTTTTTCTACTTATCAAAATTGTAAAGGAAAACACAAAGACCTTTCAAGTGGAAAACAGTAAGAATTCATGACTGAGGCATAAACTGAAGAAAGATCAATTATGTAGTTATTTGAATTTTCATTGCTCTTGTGATAATCTTTTACACAACACTAATCACGTGCAAATTCTCTTGCTACACTCAAGTAAGTAGAATGCCTTTGGATTTTTCATGAAAAGGCATCATCAGTAGCTTGTGAAGAAAACCAAAATGTTCTATAGAGAGACTTCAATCCCAGTTCATTGTAATAGTTGTAACCACTTTTCCAGATCCCTACATTTGAATATTACATAACATCAGTTTAAGTAAAGACATGCTAGACTTCTAGAAATGGTTTTCTTTTTTTTAATTCTAGAGGCTGCCGGTTAAAAAATAAATCATTACAGTGTCTCCATTCCCCTTTTAAAATTCCCAACACAACTGTACCAAAAATCCTGGTATGCTAAAACTCAGAAATATTCCTCATTCTAATTATGAAAATCTGAGAAGCAACAGAGTATGTAAACATCCCTCCACCATTTTTCAGAACAAATTACCAGAAAATGTCATATAAAAGATTTAACATGCATTGAAATCCAAATACCTTTTAAAAGTCACTCTTTTATATAATAACTGACACATTTGTTGCCACTTTCAGCCTCAGACCTCCACACTCCCCATCACTGAAAATGGTGCTTTTAAGGGTTATATCCTGTCCACTATCAGAATACAGTACATGGACAAAATATACTCCAAAACTGAAATCAAAATGAGATCTTTACAGACTCTTATACATAAGCTAATACTTCTAACTACAGAAATCACTGACTAGGTTTCAATTATTTTCTCATTAACCCACTTGTGTCCCATACTTCGTAACTTTAGCATCAAATTCTTAAGATCTACTTGGCCTGAAAAAGCATGATTCCACATTTAAAATTACTGAAAGGCTCTTGACTCTCAGTATTACTAACAACTGATCTTTGACAAAACCATCATTTCAGTACATGGCAAAAAGTACAGAAAACCAAAGCCAAACGAAATTACTTGCACCTGGTCATCTTTTCTACATTGCTAGGTTAAGCAAGATTAATAAATGGGTTTATTTCTAATAACCTTAAGAACAAAATAAAGAATCAAGATCAATAACTCTTCTTGGAGAGCTGCATTATGTGTCCTACCATTGTAAGAGCTTTCTGGGCTCTTAATGTCTCCCACAGGAACTTCCATACTACTTAGTTGGTAAAAGAGGTATAAGACGTTGCTTTTAGATCTAAGACATGAAAAGGGACACCCAGCGTCAGTATTTAAAATACTGAGAATTTGAACTGATCACCCAAAAACTGACTTAGCTGGGGCTGGGGAACATCTTCCCTGGCAAATAGGCATGATTTATATCTGCAGTGTAGAAGGCGTTTTGGGAAAAGTTCAATCCCTAAAATGGCTGGAAAGCTACCTTGGACAGTTCAGCACTTTATTTAAGCAGATACGAAAGCATACCTCTTATCTCTTCTCCAAAACCTTACTCAGTAGGCAAAAAGCTTATTAAGCTTCACAGCACATCCCTTGGTAGGAATTAGTCTTTTCATGTGTATCTTGTGATCCAAGTCATTGTCAGAAAAACTGTCTTTTAGATCACAAAGTACTGAGGATTGGGAGGGACCAAATGGTAGGCTCATGTGGTCCAACCTCCCTGCTCAAGCAGGGTCATCCTAGAACACATTGCACAGGATTGCATCCAGATGGTTCTTGGGTATCTCCAGTGAGGAAGACTCCACAACCTCTTTGGCCAATTTGTTCCAGTGCGTGCTCACCCACATAGTAAAGAAGTTCTTTGTCCTATTCAGGTGGAACTTCCTGTACATCAGTTTTTGCCCATTGCCTCTTGTCCTATTGCTTGGCACCACCGAGAAGAGCCTGGCTCCATCCTCCTGACACCCTCCCTTCAGATACCTATAGACATTGATACGGTCCCCTCAGTCATCTCCTCTTGAGAGTGAACAGGCCCAACTCCCTCAGTCTTTCGTTATAAGAGATGCTCCAGTCCCTTCATCATCTTTGTATCTCTCCACCAGACCCACTCCAGGAGCTCCATGTCTCTCTTTTACTGAGGAGCCCAGAACTGGACACAGCACTGCAGATGCAGCCTCACTAGGGCTGAGCAGAGGGGCAGGATCACTTCCCATGTCCTGCTGGCGATGCTTTTCCTAATGCACCCCAGGATACTGTTGGCCTTCTTGGCCACAAGGGCACAGTGGACTGTGGATAGCTTGTTGTCCACCATGACCGCCAGGCCCTCCTCAGACAGGTACTCTCGCCATGCCTACAGATACTCTATTGATCAAACCACTAAAATCAGTACCCTGAATCCTGAGATGTTTCAAAATCAAGATATTTCCATGAGACTGTCCTTTTAAAATTTAAACCAAACATCAGTCACAATGGAGGTATGCTCTAAAATTAATAATAAAAAACTATATTCTCTGTGCTGTGTAATAATTTTACTGAACAAATAGCTCTCAAGATGTACTTTTCATAATTTTTATATACAAAACCCCATAGAAGAATAAAGCTTTAAGAAATGATTTTACAGAATATGTTGCAATTAATCATGGCATACGGTGTTCCCAGATATCAATACCAAACTCACAAATCAGAAGCATCTATCATGGAGCATTTAAAATTGTAACATGTCCTTCTTGTCTTTGCAAATATAAATGATATTTAAGATGCCCCACGCTTTAGCAGCACTTAGCTTTCACCCAATGCAAATTAATCTACAAACAAGCACTGAGATCCTAGAGGTCTCATTTAGGGACAACATTCAGCATTGCTGCAGACATTTATTACACAATATTGATCTACTAAATGGAAAGTTTCTCTTTTGTAATCTTTGGGTAACTTAAACACATTTAGTAAAGGACAGCACACAAATATAACTTATAAGGTATCTTCTCCAAACAATGAGTTTGTGCTAACATGCAGAATAACACTACTTGCGGAATTTAATTATTGTAGCTTTTAAAGCGTTTGCAAACCATAGCTAGTACATTTTCTCCTTGACTATTTGATTCAGGGGCTATAACACTTAAAATACGTTAGCATCTTCAAGGCTACATTAAATTAAAATGTAATCATACTAATGATAATTTACTTTTTTTGTACTTAATTATTTAATTGTAGTCACATTTCATTAAAACAAACAGATAAAGTTCAGAATACTAAGTATGAGTGATTGTGCTTTATGCATTAATTCTAATGTGTCTCTAAAAAAAAAAAAACTAACAACCTAACAAAACCATCTCAACTTAACAATCAAATAAAAAAATCTGACATAAATCTATCAAAAAGCCCAAACCGGTGAGTTACCAAACATTAGGAAGAACAAGGTTTCTGAAATACGCAATTGTGATTACATTTTGAATTTTGTCATTTTAAAGCCTTTACTTTCACTGATGTAAGGTAATTAATTTTTACATCACCTCTTCTTTTTCTTTAGATCACAGCAGAATTCAAACCAATAAGTGTGAGTGATTACTCACACTTACTCTAAAGGGCAGACAACACAAGTTTACAGAAACCTCGACCAAGACTACAGTAGTTACAGAACATAAAACAAAGTTAATAGATATGCCTTCTTGAGGATAATACATAAGAAGGGGTTTAGGAATTTTGTATTAAAAGCTCATTTCAGATTATGCAGTGTTTTCTCCTCCCTTCCACAGGGAAATAAAGTAAACATGTTCTCTTCAATATTCATTTCGGTAAGAGTTTAGTTGCAAAATGGTTATACTTACATAAACATAAACATAAAACCATATGATAAAGCAAAATATTGTCAATTAGTAAGCCAATCATAAATAAATTCACCTAAAATTAACAGAAGAAGCAGCTGTATTCCTTCTACATTGATACATTTTTTAGCATGTTTTTATTAGTCAACTTCATTGCCTAGCCTGGGACAAAACAACTCATCATCATCGAGCACTCAACAATTCTGCACACTGAGCTAAGTCTTTTTTTTAGTTACATTTTTTACATTTTCTTTACAAATGTAATACTTATGTACATTATATATTTTATTTCTACAATTCATTTACTTTACTGAAACTCTACAACTTTCACAGGGAATTTGCTGAAGTCTTTAGTAAATATGAATCATTCCTCTTAAAAAGAAATTCATATAAACAACCAACATACATCACTGCCCTTTGACATCTCTGTTAAGGATTTGGATCTGGAAGGGCTACTATAATAAATGTAAGAAAAAAGGCTTTACCTAATTGTACATTTTGTTAAGAAATATCATCCCACATAGCTACATAAATTCACCAGCTTGCAATAAACAGAGCACCATACCGCTGCACAACTGGATACGTGTACAAACCAATTTTAAAGTTTACTAGTGAAACAGCTTCATCACTCCTAGCACTTTGAGACTGAAGTAAATCTGCAAAATTCTTTTGGAAATGTATACTTCTTTAGCTGTAAAGCTTCCAAAACAGTGCTGTCACTGTATATTGTGAAGAACAAGCATCCACTTCTGTAACTTCCCATATGCTTCTCTCAGCCCATGCTTCTGTCTGAAGTCAGAATTTTTCTTCTATTTATTCCTTGGTCACTTACAAACCTGCTGTTGAATATTAAGTAAGAACTCATAATATGAGAAAGCTGCTTCTGTCCGATCCTCAATTAAATGCTGAAAAAAATCTGTTTTGGCAGGGTTCTCATCTCTGAAAGAAGAGAGGAAGGTATTGAGCAAAATCAAACATTGAGCAAAAAATCCACTGCAAAATTCAAACAGAGGCCTAAGGTCTAAAAAATTTCTTACTATCCTTTGGAATCTACATTCAGTCCAAAGATACTAAAATTGCAAATAATCTAAAGTCTAGGAAAAAACCCTGAAGTTTGCAATACACTATCAAACAACAGCATCTTTTTAAGGAGTATAAATGGTAGAAAAGCAGGTGAAATACAGCATTTAAAGTATCTTGCAAAAAACACAAAAAAGAAAATGTAAAAATACTTTGGTTTTAGGAGTCAGAAGTTAACAAATATTGCTGGTGGCAATGAAAAAATGCAAAAATTACATCTCTGGTTACATGTAATCTTAATCTCAACAGAACAGAGAAAGTAAACATACTTATATTATCCATAATTATTGTCCCAATAAAAATTATCTGAGACACAATCCTCTGTACTGGTATTGTACAGTGTGCAGCAAAGCTCCTCCTGTTTACTATGGTCTCTCAGAACTACTTGCAACTCAAGCAGCAGCCAGCATGCCACAGCTGAAGAGCTTCAGTCCTGTATTTCAGCATTATTTCTCTCAGCAAGTCATCATACTCTCTAAAAGTGACCTCTAAAAAGTGATCTCCTGTCCGGCTCAGTAAACTGAGTATTCCAGAAGTGAAATGTATTCTCAAGTATAATAATTTTATTGCACTTAAACTTCTTTAAGTGAGTCGTGTCTTGAAAAGGCTTCAAAACTTGCCTCATCTATCATAAATCAGCTGCTGCCCTATGGAGCTCAGTAACAAATACATACAATTACTTACCCATCTACAGATTACTTACTTTACTTCTTTTTTATATGCATATTATAAAAGCTATAACAGAAATTAACCCAGCTAACTCCATTGATCAGAAGGATATCCATTGGTTTAGTGTATTCTTACTATAAAAATATGCAACTAATTCCTAACAATAAAACTATTAGTAATTGAATTTGCACTAGATTCAAAGATGACCTTTGTCACTAAGCAGTTTTAGATAACAGCATTTTATCAACTGGAAAGATGATGATATTCAGATAAACGCACTTTTCATCAGTTTTAATTAGACACTGTAAATACAAGTTGCCAATAACAACTTAGTATCTAACAGAAATACTTACTTTATTACTTGAAGAACTGGACTTAAAGGTCTACTGTCTCTAAGCCAAGATATAAAAGATCGTGTCCTTTCTGAAGAAAGTGCATCTACCTCAGGAAGCTGCGTCTGGTTGAAGGTAATGGAAAGAAGTCAGCATCTTTTATTATCAAAACTATTTTAAAAACTATTTAAGAGAAATAGATCCTGAAAGTCGTAACATGACTCAAGCCACAATTTCTATTGAGAAATTAGCAACCATGTTTTTATATATACAGATATTTTTCTTCAGCTTTAGTGTTTAAGTACACCTTTAACTTAAACCACATTTTAAGTGCAAAAGATTTGAGAAAGCAAGTTCATTTGAAAAGTCATCTTTTCACAATGCAGCTTTGCAGTCTTCTTGCCTTTATCTTCCCCTGGCAATCAAGTTCCTACATGTTGTACTATGTATCACTGAAAAGATGAGCAAAACAAGAAGTGAAGTCTGAATTGCAAGTAAATTTCTGAATGGCAAAGATTATACTGGACTATTTAGTTGGGGAATAAGGTGAAAAAATAGAATTCAAACCAACTCTTCAGCCAATATAAGACAATCAGTATGACATAACAGAATTATTTCAGAATTAAACCAGAGGAGCCAGTTTTAAATTGCCAATAGATGCAAAATACAAAACTCTAAACAAGTAGTCCAATTCTACAGTAGTTTCTAGCTTACCACTCTTAGCCTGTTCTTATAAGGACCACCTGTCACTTTCCCCCTTGATACTATAGAAGCTTTATAAGCAGAAAATATCTTCCTATGTTTCTAAACTAACATATTTTTGGTACTATGTGAAAATAACCATTTGATTCTGAACTTTTCTAGAGTGTCTTAAAAGAGTCCTTCCTTACCTGCCAATTGTTGACATTTTGGAATCACTTCTCATGGAAGAGGAGACTTCTCTTTATTTGCTGCTCTGTTTCACACACTAGACTATAGGTTATAACATAAAAACCCCTCCACCAAAAAGCACATCCAAAGGTCTTTGATGTTCTAATAGCTAAAAGCATTTTTTAACATTAACTCAAGGCTTGGAAGCTGAGCAAAACTTAATTCTTACCCTTACTTACAGGCCTATCGTGTCATACCATAGATTTGGTATCTGACACCAGATTCTGAAAACCATGGTATCAATAAAGTAACTCTAATATTAACCATTAACACATCTGAATAGATAATTTTTGTATTCATTCTGTGAAATTCCTTCCTATTCTTGTGAATCCACATGCATTTCCATAAAAAAATAAAAGGAGTAATGTATAGAGCAACTCTGGCATTTCATGAATACGAAACTTTAAATGTTTACATTCTTTCCTTAAAAACATCTGACAACTTCTATTTGGCTCCAATGAAGCTGACAAGAAGTTAGAAGGTACCCAATAAAAAACCCCCCTAATTCATAGTTATGTAATTAAAAACTGAAAGTGCAGAAATAAAGAGATTAAATATAAATTCCAAGTGTAAGCACTATACGGTTCAACTCAAATGCCTACCATTTTCTGTGGTACTGATGCATAGTTTGGGTATCCAAGGACATCTTTTATGAAGCTGTTATCACAGTTTTTTCCAATCCAAATGTAAAAAATCTGTAAGATATAAGAATCAGTTTTAGTAAAGGCCATGCATACATTTTAGAGGTAAGTGGTCATGTAATAGGAATAATACCAGAATAATAACTTTCATGCAAATGAATCACTTGAGCACTCCAGCTGCACTTCATGTATACATGTCTATATTCATTATTTGCACATTTACTTATTAGTACATTGGTAATTTTTACAATAGATCATTAAATATATAAAAAAAATATAGGTAGAATGCAAATACTGAAAGAATGAGGACGCAGGACACATCTATAATAGAACAGTTAATGCGATAACTTCCCATGTTACCTCCTCAAATGAAACCCCTCAAATTCTGTCAAACACTGACTTCCCAATCTAAACAAGTCATAGTAAAGCATCAATTACCAAAACATGTTATAGTAATTATTTCAGACATCTGAAGACAGATGCTAGTTTGACATTCACACACAGCCCTGAACTCATAAAAGGTTTCAAGCACTTTCTAGATTGTCATTTGAGTAGCACAATGCTTTATCCAATTAAGTATGTTTTAGTGTAATTTCTATGGATACCTTAAAATGTATCTACAGATTTTGTTCACTTTTCACAATTCCCTCATTTTTGCATAAAACCACTTTATTTGTGTGTAGTTGGGAAGGTTTCTGCATCAATGAGAAGTGTTTTATTAAAGACTGTAGTATATACATTTTAATAACCATAAAAGAGATTTTGGAAAATAAAAATACATTAATTCCAGAAAAAACACCTTGATGTGAACTCTTGATATATTCTGACCAGTCTGTCACGAAAAAACAAATCAGCCTCTGAAGCCTCAAAGATACTCCTTGGATCAAAATATGAAAGCCTTTCATTGAAACACAGATTACTGTCAGGTTACCTGGAATGCTGATTCACTATACTGTTATTGTTGAGAGTTGACTGCTTTTAATAAAGAGTGCATGCATTGCCTCTTTTTTCTTAAAAAAAAAAAAGTGTGTAAAACTTGTAAGTTTTTTAACTTACTGAGCCACAATCCATAAGAAAAGCTCCTTCTCTTGTCAACTTCTCTGCAGACAGCTTCTGAAGAGGTGGCTGAGGAACAACTCTGTCATTTACATGTATTGTACTCTGTAACAAAACCCAATACTCAATAACACTAGAATTTTACCTTTAACCAGGAAAACCACTGTTAATCTCTAGTAAAATTTTGAGGATTCTCATGTAACAAAATACCATGTTAAGCCTAAAATGATTATGTACACCAAGCAGTTCTAGAATGTTACTTAACCTAAAGCCTACTTTATTACCTAAAAAATAATAATGGAAGTTCATTTAAGTTGCTTGTGTCACATTTCTGATGCTACAGATGTCAATATTTCAAAAGAATTCTAGTGTTGACACTTGAGTGTCAACAACCTCCACCGATTCTTTTCATTGCATTCAGCTTTACTAGAAATGCTGCAAGAGCTGAACACATCAAATGGTACTTCCTATGAGGTTTCACTGTTTTACTGCATTCAATTGACAGCAAGTTCCTTGATTTAACATCCTGCTTGAAGTGATCCACAGGTTTCTCCACAGAGCACTATGACCAATCTGATTAAACAATCTGGCTGCCAGCACTGACATTATTAAAAAAATATCCTCCTCCAACCCAAATCCCCAGTATTTTCAGATTAAAGCTGTTTCCCCCTCCAATACAAAAATAGGATGGGTATCTTAAGAATCTGTGAAGCATTCTACAAATAATGTAGGGAAAAAACAGTCTACAGGCTAAGTACATCTCCATGTAGTAAAATATTATTAAATAAACTAAAATCCCTATTTAAAAATTTCATATTGTAATGCCACAGATCAGAAGTTTTGGGGGATTTATGCATAATTATGAAAATCAAGCTACCGAATTCCACTTGGGCAAGTTCTGGGCTTTAATCATTGGTCTCAAGAATCAAGTGCTAAGAGGAAGGAAAACCAGCAAAAACATTAAAAAATAATTCTGTAATATATATAATATTCTAAAGAAACAAGAAATTTAAGAGCAGCCTCTGTCACCAATACTTTAAACTGAAGTAATACTGACACATTAGCACTCTGTTATATGATTTAAAATGTGTTTTGTCAATTAATTTTAATAGGTGAAATAAGCCCTATTATTTGTATTATAGTACTAAAAATAACTGATCTGAAAGCCTCTGCTAATAAAACAGGATCTGCTAAAGACACTGGTGGTTCTTTACAGGACATGCACACAATACAGCATTTGAATTTAAGTGCCTCAAAAAAAACTTAACAAGGTTAGTTGAAGTTGGCTTCTCAAATGCTTGGAAGGGTGGAGTATAAAAAGACTAACTAATCAATTCCTCTGAAGAGCACTGAGTTTAGACTCACCTATTTGAGTTTATGAAATACCTCAAAAGAAACTCCGAGACTACAAATAGGTCAGAGGTTGTGCTGAACAATACCACTGCCAGAGAAACAACTCAGTTTATCCTATAACACTTAAAACCAAACTCCCACACATACTTTTACAAAGCTAGCAACTACAAACTCATAAAAACTTACTTAAAAAAATTTTACTTAAAATTTTTGCAATTATAACTAACTTTGACCTCAAAAAAAATCCCGTCTTACTTCTTACTATTAAAAAAGTGCATCTATTTCCTATGCTACCTCTGTAAAAGCTGAATTAATAAAATCTGGTTTCATAAATGAAATACCTTCTCAGTCTGATCATGACCAGCAAGAAGTACAATTCTGTTTTATCCACTTCAGTCTGAGAAACCACTGTTATTATTGCAGGCAACTTTATCTGATTTCAGTATACGAAACCTAGATTCATCCACCAGATCTACTTCACCCATTTCCCTCAGACAGGTGTAAAACACAAAAGCATACTGAAGATGTTTCCAATGCATAGTCTTCTCTGCTTTCTTTGTGTAATAGAAAAACATGGAATTATTGTGGTCAGTGAAACAAGATGAAGGAAAACCACAGTTTTGCTCATAACACACTACTGTACTTGCAACTGAAAACTTGAAAACAAATATTTTTCTTGATTTTTTTATAGCTTATGGTAAATTCTCCACTTATATTATAATAACAACTTAAATTATTGCAGCACAACATTGCATTTAACAGGCCACTAAAACTAGAAAATGCTGCAAACAGGCTTCATACATTACCTCATCAGTCAACTTGTCTATTCTGTACAAGTTGGGATGTATCATCTTCATCAAATGAACAAGAGGCTGGCTCTTCATCTGGCACATTGCGTATACACGATCATCCAAGCGAGTGCTCGTGCCTGTCCTGAATGCTTTCTGTAAGAGAACAGAGTTGCAACTCAAACAAACCCTGTATTTTATGTCACATCTACACAGTGCATTTCAGAATTTTGAAAGCGTCAAGCAAAGATGGCAAAGCTTCTGTACAGAAATGTATCTTAGTGAGATAGATCAGAATGTGAATCATAGAGCTTGAATAAAATAAGTTTAAAATGTAATCCATTCTCCCTTCTTACTGATAAAGGAGATTAAATTTCCCCCTCAATCTGTCTAAAATTTGCATGAAATTGAGCCAGCATTTCTCATTTTTACTCTTGACAAATGCTACTGCCCTCTGAAACTCACCAATGTAAGCTATTATGGAAAGATATGAGACGAGCAGAGTCCAAGCAAGACACTTATGCGCATAAGATTAACTCTGATTTTACAGTAGTAAGAATTCATTGTTAAGGGAAAACTTTGGAAGGGAAATATACTTTCATGTTTTATAGTGAAAACTAGGCTCTCATAGAATAAAATTTGTTTTGTAACTCCTTCCTACTGAATTCTTCAGATTCCCTTTAAAAGCAATTGTTAAATGATTGCTGTGAGAAGCAACACAATGAAGTAACCATCATGTTCTGACTCAATGGGGAATATTCCTATAATCAAAGTTCATATTCACTTCTACAGCAAAGCTAAGTACATCAGTCCTCCTTGGTTGCCACAAGTATTTTGGTTTGGGTTAAAAAAGATAACAAAAAAAACCCTCAAAAACCAACCCCTAAACAACTTGTTTTCTCAGCCACTCTTATTTCTGTCTTTTATATGGATCTTCTTTATAATAAATGGTCTGTTTTTTACCCATCATTAACTACATTACTTATGCAAGTACCAAAAGATCATAATCAGTGTATTAGAGGCTGAAGTAATCACTCAGCCAAAGAAAATAAGTGATTATGATTACATCTCTTACCAAACTTGCATAAAGGTTTATTCATCATAAGAGAACAAACAACTCTCAGACATGAAAATCTTTAAGCTGTGAGATTTATTCATAACAAAACCCTGCAGTAAGTTCTTTCTATGTATGATGTTTGGTAATCCAACGATATCACAAAAAAAAAAAAGTAGTAACTAGTTCTATGTGACCTTTAAACTATATCACTTGAGTTTCTGTAATAATTTTCACCTTATCTCCATGGAAACTAGTTTTTCTTTCTGGAACTTTAAGTACAAAGTATATGTATTGAAAACTATTTAACTTTTCCTCCATAAAATAAAGTTGAAGAAGTACTAATAAGCAGCTTTCACCAATCTACACCAATGAGCTGCCAAAAATCTGAGAAATGCTAACTGTAACAGTACAGATATCCTCATTTTCATTGTAAAACAATATAAAACAAAACATAAAAAAATCAAAATCAAATAAATACACCAGTAATTTAAAATAAGCTAATATAGTCATCTTCTACATGAAAGTCCTGTAAGCATAAAGATAACAACACAATTTTCATAATTTTAGAAAAGTGCAGACATTGCTTGACCTAGAACTGAAGAATTCCTCAAATGGAACAAAGAATTAAATATCAAACATTAATCCACTAGATTATACATACCTGTTTGAGAAGAGCCAAAATATAGAGTGGAAACAGCTTGAGGGAATTTGGTGCTATCAGCATGGACTGCTGCAGATTTGAGGCAGTTGACATGTATGCTGCCAAGGAGTCTACCACGGCATTAACTAAGGCATCTCTTGCATCTGCAAGACTAGAGGAAACTGAGCGATCCACAGCTGTTTGGGGTAGAAGGATAGAAGAAGTTATTAGAGATGGCCTCATTCATTCCCTTGAATTTTGAAAATACTAGTTGAGCTTCTGAGTTATGCTTTAAAGACTAAAAAAAAAAAACGCCAAAACCACACTTGAGGTCCTAATTTTTTAGGAGCAAATTAGATGACTGTCCATACTGGAACTCACTTTCACAATTCTTAAAAATACAGTGTGGCTAATTTCAGCTCTATCGTTTGTAGTCTTGGAGAATTGAAAGAAATTTTTAAAGCTGTCATATACAGTTAAGTCTAAATATAAATCCTGTTTTAAACCTTATACAAATAACTTAGCTATTGCTGAAACTCCGCTGCCCAACCTCCAAGATAAGATTTGCAGCAATTAATTTTGATTTCCACCATCCTCCCCAAGAAATTTCTTGTTATTTTCTCCATTATTTCAGTGGCATAATTGTGATAAGTGTAAATGCAGCTTCACTTTTCTCTGCTGAGCAAGGGCTCCAAATTCTTTGATTGGAGGAAGCCACCTGCTGGACTGAATGTGCATTTAAGAGGAGATCACAGAATTGTTTCGGTTGGAAGGGACCTTACAGATCATCTAGTTCCAGCCTCAAAAGATGTAGAAGTACTATTTATTTCTTCTAATTGATTTCACTACTAATTTACAACATAGCTTATACTAAAATGCTGCACAGAGTCACACACATTCGGTGTCAGAGATCAGTCTACAAAACATCTTATGACCTGCAAGTTGGGACAAGTAAGAATCCTCAACCCAGCAACAACAGCATAGAAGCACACAAAACTAGTATTTGGATACACTGTTGTCAGAAGTTGCCTTTTAGTCTCCAGCAACTCACTAAACTGAGTCACTGTCTCTTAAGTAATCCTAGAATGCTTAAGTTTGAGATAACAACTATGATGATGATACAAAAATGAGAGTTTTGATCCAAGTATTCTTTGTTCTTTAATAAACTCTAAAGAACGTAAGGCTCCTTTTAAAAGATTAAGGTCAACCAAGTATTCAGAAGAAGGAATATTTCGGTTCACAGTTTTGATATAACTTTGATTTTGTCATCTGCTGCATTCTCAGGCTTCAGTGTGCTCCAGTTTAATACCCAGGCTTCATTTACTATTTCATTTAAATGGCTGGCAAAATCAAAACCATACAAAGAAATACTTGAATCTTCTTGGTCTGTACTCACCCATGTTGGCTAAGAGGCAGACAACTGCTTGTACATCTGCTCCTGCATATACATCAGCCAATGAACTTACTACGGGCAAGCAAAGTGTGTGCACTCGAATGCGACGTTCACCTACGAGAAATCAGAGGAAATCATCATGAATTATCTCCTGCAAGAAGTATACAAATTCAGTCTTTACTGCATATCTCCTCTCATCTCAGATGCACCCATTTTATAAAAACATACCAGTCAGGAAATTGATTTAACACTGTCTCTCATTCCTGTCTCAACCTGTTCAAATTCTGCTCTAAAGCAGCACAAGTTGACTTACAACATCCACAGTGTCTTGATCCTACAAATGAAGTACATGGATTTCCATCCCAAAATTTTGTGGCATTTTCTACTATAGAAATTAGCTGCTATTCTTTAATGCCCACCCAATGTAGTAGCAACTCGTTCCAATTCATCGTAAGTCTGTGAATTTGGACCAAGTGCCTGCCAACATGTTACTGCTTGTAACAATGGTATCACTTGTAAGTAAAGGATTCTTGCTGAATCAGATGTAAGATGCAGATTAATCACATTATCCCATCAAAAGAGACTTCATAAGGATTTCCATTATGTGATTAATTGCCAAGTAGGTTCACTAGCCTTGAAAAGATTCTCTTAGGGTACAGTGAACAACAAAAGGCTGTGGAACCAACTATACAAACATTATATTATAGAAAAAGCCCACTGGCCAATTAATTTGAATTTATTTACCTTTGCTGGAAGTATACAAAAGAGCTGTTTGAAAACAAACCAATGATGTGTCAGTCAGACTTTCCTCAATGGACATTTGTACTGCAAATCCAGCATCAGGATTGACATTAGCAAGGGACAACAAATCAGTAGATCGTACAAAAAAGTTCCCATGAAAAGTGTGTATTGAAAGACCTAGAAGCAGATTAAATAACTCTGAATGAGTTTAAAACAGAATGGAAAACTCCAATCAATAACTAAAATCCACAGCCCTCAAGCTAGCTTTAAGAAAACAGTAAAAATTCTATCATGCAAAATCAATTACATGAATCATTAGACATTTCAGCGCGATCCTGTAGAGTTCATGTTCGATTCTGAACGCTCCAAATTGATGCCCTTACATTACACATGCCATCAACTAAAGAACAAAACAACAAACCCCAAAAGCTAATGTAACTTACACAGAGAAAGCAACTACCTTACTCTTCAGAGAAAGAGAAATAACATGAACTTTAATGTTGCTCAAGACTTAAACACATTCAAAATGATCGTTAACACGCTTACACCAACTTTTCCATGTATTTAAGACATACCTTTTGTACATCTTATGCGCATAACTGCTTCAAATCCAATCTTTCTTGTAAGGTATCTTTTCAGGTCTTTTTGCAACTTTTCGGCCTGAGCAGGATTATGGGTACGATGGAAAGATGGATAGTAATAGATGCATCCAGCAGAATACTTGGACATGCAAGCTGTGAAGGAAGAAAAGATATGGTTAAGAGGTAAAATTGTAACGTGAAGTCAGGACACAAAAATTGTGTCCAGCCTTCCACAAGACACTTCTATTAATCTTTTTCTTCATATGACCCACACCTATAAGACAATGAGAACTGGCCCAGCCTCAGGCCACTGAAGACAGTCATGAGCCACCTCAATACACAATGACCTAATTATACACTGAGCTCAATAAATGCCTCCTTTGGCAGCTAAGACTGAAGTGCCTGCAGAAAAATTCGATGGTGTGGAGGCAAAATTGTGTGCATAAATCTTGGATTAATATCAAAAGATGAAAACTCTGTCCTACCCCTATAATTAAACTTTATTTATTCCTTGCCATCTGGCTGTTTCCTGTTCTTGAGCAGGAGAGAACATTCTCATTTAAAATTGTGAAATCCTAGAATAACTTGTCTGATACCACCAATACAATATTTCTGTTCTTTACTGCTATCAACTTCAAAGTCAATTCCATTGCAGCATGAGCTGCAATTCCAAAAGTGCAAAAATATTTACCTGATTTAAAAATTCCTGAAGCAGCCTATGCTTCTAAAGAAAGACAACAGTGCAGAAAGAGGGAATGAGGTACTCCTTACCAAGAGAAGCTAGATCAGAATATTGTGAGCTTAAGAGAAACAAATCCACAGCAGTCTGCTGGCCTGAACAGTCCAGTGCCAACTTCTTATAAAAGTCTGTTGCTGGACCAAGATGCTGGACCACCTTTAGTGAATAAATTATACAGGGAAGAGTTAATCATGCTTTTTAAGAGTTTATGGAACAAAAGACATCCTAGTCAGAAGCAAAGTATCATAAGGAAGTTTCCTTTAAACAGTAACTTACAGGCATTCCCACCTTCAGAAACTATTTTCCTTATCTTCTGTATCATTTAAGTTTGCGTTTACAAGCAGTTATGATCCTACTTTCGAGGAAGTTTACATGCTCATACAAATAAACATTCATGCAACTATGTACCACTTATTGGATGCTGTGAACTACAAGGCCATAAAAATAATAAGAAATAATGTTTTAGGTCTACAATTTAAACATCCACACTGATCAAAAACTCAGGTTGATATTAATCAAGTCAGAAATATTTGCAGCTTCTTTTGCTTGCCAAGGAAAACTATGAACCAAAGGTCCAAAAGACAGCTCGTGTACTTTGAAACAAGTAACAACACCACACATACATGTGTGATCTTAAATGTATAAACATAATTTAATTCAGTGAACTGCTATAAACAAGAAGCAAGCATTGACCTGCAGAACTACACAAGACAGAAGGACATGGCCAATACTTAGTCTCATGAAATGAATTTTAATGGAAGTTTTTTACCTTTGTGCTTGACCTTTGATTGGGATCTTCTCTGGAATGCAAAAGCCCTGCTCCCAAGGATGGTAACTGAGTTTGAAAGACAGATATCCGACCACCCGTTGGAGACATCAGTTTAAATGCAGCCTGAAGAGCAGGGCCCAGTGCACTGTGTGTTTCTCTTGTATTAGTGAACATATTTGGTAATGCATTCAATAGGTCTTTTATCAGCTGCAGAACAGATTGAAAGGTGTTTTATAGAGTGAGACAAGCTTGAGATTTTCTGCTGTTTCTAAAAAGCTCTACTACCATAACTGAAGTGACACAGTCTGTACCAAATATTTCAGTTTAGTTTTAACACATTAAGGAAAATAAAGGCATAATTTTAGAAGTTATGATGTATCAAACTACATGTAATACTTGTATAAGTAAAAATTAGCATTGGAACTACATATTATGAAGGTAAGTTTGAATTCAAAGTTTAACAGGAACATCTAATTTGAATATTTACCCTTTAAATTTAATTATATATTTTAAGCAATCATACCTCTTTGCTTTCATGGAGATTTACAAGTAAACTATCTGGTGTAGGCAGGAAAATATCTGCAGGGAGAATGTAAAATAACATTAAAGAAAAAATTAACATTAAAATAGAACAAAACATTTAATTGCCCACTGCTATTCATACCATGAAATAGTCTAATTTTCTGATAGGTGTGTTAGAGAGAAAAACACAGTCTATACAAAGCTTGTCTTATTCAAAGTAAAATTAAGTTTTGAACTTCACATTTTAAACATCACCTACCCTATAGTTAGTGTAAGACTACTTTTCAAAAATATATTCACTATACATTCAATAACATTGACCTAACACCAAGATAGTTGAGAGATTCTAATCTTTCTTCTGGGAAAAATAAATAATAGATTCTCAAAAATTCAGCTTCCATTTTCTTTTTACTTACCATCAATATCTGAGACAATCAGCATCTGAGGCTGAGATAAACCTTCTTGCAAGTTGTAAAACTGAACAGTGCTGTCAAACGTTATGAACCCTATTCTTGTTCTTGAGTCTCCAGGCAGCCTGAAGCATTGAAAAATAAACTATTAAGCCCTAAATCTCTCTCTCAATACATACACATACTCAGAGCTCCTGCTGATATTAGCAGAAACTCAGCTCTAGTGTACAGGAGTGAAGGGAGAACATAAGAAAGGAGATGTGAAACATGAATACAAGCAATATTCCCTCAGTATTTTCTGAAAAGTTGGGATAATGGCAGTTTACAAGACCAGTGTTATGGACAAGCACTCACTAATATATTGATATTTTGCTCCAAGAGAGAACCTAATAGGTTCATTTAAACATTATACTGATACATGAAAGAAGGCAGTTCTTCAACAGAAAACAGTGCATTCTGCTCTTTCATAATTCAAAAAGCCATTTACTAATGTAGTTACAGAGTACTTACAACTCTAAACCAAAATCCAATGTCTCTACAATGCAACTTATTTATTGCTCATGGGGACCATATTTCAGTAAATGGCATTAAAAATGTAAAATTAAAAACTAAAAGTAACTTCTCAAATAGAATATAAAACATCAGCAAGTGCTGAAAACCATGAGAGTGACCAAAACCAAAAAAGGCGACTATTGTTGTTACCACCTAGATATATAAATGAACTGGAGGTACTGATTTTCCTATAGACTTTGCGTGTTTCTGAGAATCTGTTAACAAAATACCCATAAAAAACTGAACAAAGAAGGACTAAACTAATAAATGGAATAATTTTGTTGTACATATTGGTTTCTTCGTGAGAAATTAAAATCAAGTTCCCCAAGAAAAATTTGTAGAAAGGAATTTTTGAGCCTTCACAGGATTAGTTGTCAAAAGACATGAACACAGTGAAGCTTATCAGCCCTCACTAAAAAAGCCCCAGCAACAATCCCACACATGCTGTCCCAGTGCAAAAATGTGAACAGATAGAAAGCGGCACAGGTAGATCTGGGTGGATCCAGCATGAAGCACCTTAGCCATTCCAGCACAAGAACTGGACAATTTAATCTCTGTAATTTAGATCATTTTTGTTGCTCTTGGCAGAGGGGAACACTGCAGTGTATAGATCTTTGTATAATTAACATGTTGCTAGAAGTTATAGCTAAATATTTTTTGCAGATAAGTAAATTATATGCAGATACACCTTCAATCACATTCAGGAAAGACAGCCCTCACCATGTAAATTGCTTCAACAGCTGGGGTTTTCTTGGGTTTTGGGGGTTTTTTTTACGGTTTGGGTTCTTTGGTTGGTTTTGTTTTTTTAGAGATGTAAGTTGCATTTCAGAATTCCAGGCAACTGAACTTCTGCCCTTTAGGGACAGGATGTTTAGACACTATATGCAAGTTTTTTTCAGAATTGTAAATTACTATTGTTCATAACAACATGTCAGCTGATTTGAAAAAATTGTTTATACTCTTACTTGTCTAGGTTTTCCAGCAATGACTGGCAGACTATTGTCAAATATCCAGCCTCCACTGCATTATGTGACACATCTAAAACAAATAAATATACCGCAGGCTGAGGAGGACGAAGCTACAAAGTAAAAAAAAAATAAAAATAAAAGAATGTTTAAAAATCATATTCAAAGAAATGGTAAAATTGATTAATCATTAGAAAGGGAAGTGGGAAAAGGGAATACTTAGAAAAATGCAAAGTATACAGTATGCAATAAAAGCAATTTACTAAGAGACATGTGGATAGACTTAACCACAACTCCCACTGGTTAATAACTGCCATTTGTAATAAATATACAGTGTTATACTTCAGAAAAAAAATGTCATATATTAGTCCCTCCTTCCAAGAGTCAAATCAGACATGACATTTATGAAAGATATGGAATTCACCCTTCTATACTCCACTGTTCTTTCAGTGTGATGCATTAAACAAGGTTAAAACATTCTACCTACAACCTTTTCCCAACTCTGTAATGAGCTCTGTTTATTCATTGCCAAATGTCTCTGCTACAATGTTTCAATTAAAAGACAAGAGAACAATTTATTTTTGCTGCTGTTAATAATGTCAATTGTGAACAGGGCCTTTTCCCAGGCGTTGTTTAACTTTTTTGGAGACAAGACTACTATGACAGCAATTGTAAGCTGATTACTAATAAGAATAATTTCTGTCACAATTACTAACTGAAAATTTGAAGCTAAATTAATTTGCTTGTTATTCTATTACTGGTCTTTCAAAACCTCCTCAAAACAATGGGGAAAGACAGAAATCACATTGCATTGGGTTCAATGACTGTGCCACATTAAACTACACTGGATGACAATACACACTGAATTGACTTTAACTGACAAGCCTCTGAATGTCTGCATTAGCAAAAACTCAAAATATGAATTTTAAATATTCTTTAGTGTTAAGAGGATCTTCACAGGAAAATTAATACACACCACTGGAGCAATATGCAACATTAATTTCAAATGCTTTCATATTAAAATGCAATTGCTCTTGCTCAAGTTACCATGAAAACATTTTTTACCATATAGTCTGAGGAAGCAATGAATTCCACTGTAGAATTTTGCACCTCTGGCCGTTTATGAGGCTCTCCATAAGACCGTGTCAGAGGATTATACATAAATTCTTCGGGAACTATAAAAAAAACGCAATACAGATTATATTTTTGACAGCAAATAAAAAACGTTATTGCAGCTACAAGCAAAGTAATGTGGACACATTTCAATTATCACAACAGGAAAAAATTCACATTAAGGATACATAAAACGAAGGAACACTTCAAAGATCTCGAGCAACATCCAAGTTAAGTAATTGGAAAGAAAAGAAAGTTTATTTTAAATAGTACTATATCCCAATTATAAAACACCAATGCAAATAGAGCATTTCACACCAAGCAGCAATCTGTATTGCTTCTCATAACCCCTGGCCTGGACTGCAGACAGCAGCAGCTGTCATCATGTTTCCATTTGCATATTGCAACAGCAGTCAATGGAATAAGCTGAATTCATTACACAAGTAATCAGCATTATATGAATACATTTTCTTCATCTCCCACAAGACTGCAAAACAATCTTTTGCTTCAAAAAAATGCACAACACATCTGACTTAAGATGTTTTTTAAAATCTCTGGATCATAAGAACACTGTCACTTTAATCTACATTTTAATCTAAAGTCTCCCATGGACTGATATAATGCAAATGCTTGAAAGAGATACTATAAATGCAAGCATCTCCTGCTACAGAAACTTACCATCATTAACTCTATAGCACAGATTGCACTTCCACCTCCTTTGATCAATGAAAGAAACAAAAGGGTTGATATAAGTCCTGCAGGATCTGCATCTTACTATTGTGCTTGATGTTATTACTGGTAATTGCTAAAAAGAAACATGGAAAGCTGTCACAAAGTTATATGATACAGTTCATGGAAATGTGCAGTTTAATTCATAAAACCTTCATAAGACTCTGTATTCTTTCATCTTTCCTTTTAGCTTTTTAGTTTATTTTCATACAGAGTAATTATGATGCCTTACTAAAAATAACTTCACCATTAAAAACAAAAGAAATAACATTTAATTATTGTCTCAATCTAATATCACAATCAAAGATGTAGTAAGATTTTAAATGAAAGTACTTTAAATTAGAGCTACTACAGCAAGAAGAATTATGAAAGACGGGACCACTGACTGACTATATATGACAGACAGAAAACTTTACACAAATAACACACATTTTATAAAAAGAAGTTATACCAGACAGTCATTCACCTTTTTACATAAATACTAATAAATCAGATGGTGAGGAGATGCTTAACAGTTATAAATACATCTTCAATCTTGTACTGTGCTTACTTTCTGATGAAAGCACTTACCAGGCCAGTAATACACTCAACATGAGCACAAGAGGGCTCTGTAAACACCTTTTCAAGAGCTACCTGACAGTTGTGAGACACACAGAGCAGTAATTCACTGCTTCAGAGAACCACAGGCAAGCAAAGATTTCCAACAACAAGGAAAAACTTCTCCAAAGCTTCTCCCTTATGAATTTCAATGAAGTAGCAATTTCAAGGCTTTTTTTCCCCTCCTCCTAAGTCCTAAACAATTTTTTGGTACTTCTGTTAAATTAGGACTTATAGTTCATTGTCATTTTTTGTTTGAATGAAAATAGGACAAATGCACATATTCAGAACACACTCTAAAAAAAAAAAGAAGTACGATACTTTACCGTTAGGTCCCTGAAGGGATGCAGCAACAAACCCAAAGGAAGCTTAGCTTTGTTTAACAAAGCCTGTGTTTGTGGAATATTTGTCAATGTACATCGAAATGAGCTGAAAGGAAATAAAAACATTATATTGAAAATGAAATTTTAAGAGATGTTAAAAACATTGTGTTAACACCAGATTTTAAAGAACTTAGAAATTTAAGAAATCCTGTGTTTTACAAAGCTGGTTTAATAAAAAACAAAACGCAAAGAGATTTAAAAAAAGGCCTCCTAAAAAACCAAAAAAACCCAGTCCCCCACTCCCCAGTTCAGCAGTTCAGCAGTGCAAGTATACCAACTTGCACTAAAGAATCAGAACTGCTTTAGGTACAACATTCAATGTAAAAATATGTATTTTTCTGTTCATTATAAAAATTTTTCCAATGAAGGAACTACAGAAGGAATATAGTATTTACTAGTTCTCAGAAAGCAATATTCACATAAGAAAATGGTAGAAAAGGATCCCAAATACTGAGTAGTGTCAAAATCTTTTATTTTGTGTAACATGGAGGGTGGACTTCAAGATAATTTAAGGGACACTAAAAAAACCCAATGCAGAAATAGTACTGTCCAAAGTGATCCATACTTAAGAATGATTTCTAGGCTCTCAGCTTTCCAATTTCTGTTTTCTGGTGGGACTATGTGTTGTCACTAGAGCAGTAAGGACACTGAGTCACTTTGGAGCAACAAAGAATACTTATTTTGGAATTACAAATAAAATCTTCGGGGAACAGCACTTGCTGTTGTACCTGGCTGGACTTGACTTGGGATAGTTGTTAATTAATTCTGTTGTTAAACAGAATGTTAATCAGAGGTGAAAGGATACATTATTCAATGTATTCAGGCATGATCATAATACTTTTCCAGAAAAAATCTCGTGCAATATTACAAAAATATTCTACTGCATAATGTTAAGGTGTTTATTAAAACTTTTTTTTTAAATGGATAAAACAAGATGAAGATTAAGCAGACTTCTCAAAATATTAAGAAATAAGCTACACTCCTGCTGCATATAATGTATTCTGGTGGCAGGATAGTTTCAACATTTGTGTAAGGATGCAGAGGATATTTTCAAGTGAAAGAATTTTTATTAACTCATCACGACAATTTAAATTCAGGAGTCAGTTTACACATTTTTTGACACTTTAAATAATTATTAGTTACTGAAAAACATAAGATACTGTTCTAGACACAGTACACTCACTCTGGACTGCAGTTTAATTTCCTAAGATCAGAATTCAAGTTAGGCACAGGTGCTGGAACTGAAGACACTGGCAAAATATTTCTATCATGTGTAAGGTTTACTGGTCTCAAGCTTTCTGGCTGCTGAGAATGCTGCAGACTTAAGCTTCCTAAGGAAGAGGACAGCTGGTTCACACCTGGATATTGCTGAAAAAGGTAAGAGCATGACAAAGTAAACACACATTCATGTTTAAATAACAACCTTAAACCTTCTTGTAGTCCCCTTTCTTCCAGACACATATTGAAAAAAGATACAGCAGTAGTTAGTAAAAAACCCAAACAAACAAGAAGAGGGTCATATGGTAGAAATTTAAAAATGCTAAGACAAATGTGACATACCTTCTAAATATGTATCATCGGACAAAATTCAAATTCATGACACAAATCAACACAGGAAGTCACACATAATCCTTCCATCTCTCCAGGCATAAGAAAACAAATTACTAGAAAGGCTGACACAATTTCCATCCCTGCACTCTGCAATGTAACTTTAGTTGCAACGTAACTTTTTCAAGTTACAGACACTGCTTTTATATATTTATTTTTAAACTAAAACCATAGAAGACGAGAAAAGGTTAGGTTGGAAGGCACCTTTGCAGTCTGGTAGTCTAATCTCTTACTCAAACAAGGCTATCTTAAAAGTCAGCTTATGTTGTTTAAAAAAAACTTGAAAGTTAGTTTAGACTTGTCCAGTTGAGTTTTGATAATATCTAAGGATTGACAATTTCACGGCACAATCTGTTCTAGTGCTTCCCCACTCCATTCCTGAAGAATCTTCTCTTTATGTGTCCAACCAGAATTCCCTTGCTGCAACTGCTTCTACTGTGTGCTCCTGAAAAGAGCCCACCTGCATCTCACATTATAGTGAAGATGAAGCCAATCCTTTCAATTTTAAAAAAAAAAACAACAATGAATAATTTCTTCCAGGTCACATTTTACACTACCTCTGTAATGTTCCTGGATATTATACACTAAGTTATGGTACTACACAAAGATCACTAAGGAATTGTGATCACCTACAACAGCAGTTTCACTCTATTTGCCAGTTGGCCCTTATTTCAGAAAGTAGGATTTGTACATCAGTACATTTCTTTTTGTTGACCCCTTCACACATACATTTCTCTGCACTGCTTCAGCATTTCTATTTTCCTCCTTGTCTGTCTCTTCTTCAGATTTCACTGCACTCAGGTGATTCACATGTATGACAGGAGTCAGGTGACAGTACATGATTTCTTGGGGGTTTGGTGCTCTCTTTGCCAGGAAAATAGAGCAGACGCAGTCAGCCAGCCCCATCACACACACAGCCAGCACAAGCTCTGCAGAGCTCTTTTATGTGGACCCAATGCCATGCCTTGCTCATGAGGTCATTTAATGCTTGAGATCACAGCCTATAGTAGTGCTCCAATACATGCAGATCAAGTACTTCCTTATGCTTCGCCATGGTTTCCTATCAGTGACGTTCAGCTCTGAAACACCAAACTTTAAAGCTGTGGATGCTGCTAATAACTGGAGAAACAAACTTGTTCAGCTTAACTACTTCAAGGCACACTTAAAATTTTCATTCAAAAGCCTTCCAATGAGCTTAGATCCAGAACTACGACATCAATATTATACTTAACATTTGTTGTCTCAGAAATTATAAAAATAAAATAGAAAATATGAAAACAAAAGGGGAAATACATCACGTAGAAAAAAGTTTTCCCAGGAAGTTATTTGATGACGTAACTTTTCAATTAAAAATACAAACCTGTGGATAGTGTTGAAAACCAGGATGGTGTCCTGGATTACTGGGCTGCACAGGAGTAGTTGGTGTTGCATTTTGGTAGCCAGGCTGCAGTGCTGGATATCCGTAACCAAAGGGCTTTGAAGCTTTTGATGTTTGCGGGACTGATGGAGCAGGAACTGGGCTGCTGGTCACAGAACGTGTATCTGAATGGACAAAAGAAATCACACAGAAGGTATTGAATATACTTACTATTTCTTTCTTAATTTAAATGTAAATTCCTAAATGCTTTACAAACAACATTTCCATTTGTAAGTGTTTTCATTATCCTTCAAGTTATTTTTCTGCACTGAAAAAAGCAATTAGCAAGGAAGATTACTGCAACTGCAGAGACAAAGATGACAAATATGGGAAAATGACCACAGACTGATAGTTACTACTAACAAAATGTTGCCCTACAAAAAGAGGCAACCTGAAAAGTACTTCAATTGAATAAAAAAAGAAAAAACCTCTTAGAACCACATTTTATTACAACATATATATTTGATATAAACCACAAGAGACCATTCATGTTTAGTCTCTGCTTTACCACTTCTGAATACTGTCAAACATAAGGCTAAAATCATTCTATAATTCTACAGTGACTTCATTAAAAGCTGTGTCTACATTTAGAGAATAGTTTGGTCAGCTGAGCCTTATGTTTTCACAATGGTAGAGGAGCAATTATGCATAATTAGTCTCTTTTGCAGTTTATAACTCTGATGCAAGTTTCTCCTGTATATCCCTGCAGCACAGGGATATAGAAAAAAAAGAGCCAGAGGGGTAGGCCCTCCAAATTAATCCAATTATCATTTAAAATACTGGCTAACATACTTTGAATAGCATCTTTTCCACTTGTTCTTAATATGGCAGCTCTACAGATTTCAAGACCAAGGCAGTCAGCTAGCAAGTTCATTTAGAAACAACCTGACAGTTCTGATATTTTTAAAGCTAAAAATTAGCAAAATAGCAGCCATTTTCTTTAAATGAAGAAAAAGAGAAGAAGAAAACCTAGTCCAAGCATCTCTGCAAGCTGATATTGCTGGTGGTGTGTTGACTTCTGTGGTGTGTGAGTCACTATTAGGAGCTCCTACTGTCAACACAATCAGGCATACAGTATGATCTAGAGAAAGATGCTGCTTTCACATTTAGCATGTTTTCAGTACTACCCTCAATACTATAATGGAAAGTATGACACGATTCAGGGAATTTTTATTAAATGGTTATGTCAGCTTAAACGTTCAAACTGTGAAGTGACTAAAAAAGGGATGTATGTTTTCTCTGATGATTTCCCTCATTCCTTTCATAGGCATTTCCTTTCATCTGCTTGTTAACTAACAATAAAGAACACCAGAAATAATAAAAAACCACATTTAAGTATTTAAATAAACAATTCAAAACGAACAGTTTACCTGGATAGCCACCTCCTTCCAGGGCATCATAATTGTTCAGAACAGGAGAGGCACTGCTTGTAGTAGAGGAACTATCAAGTGCTGGGGGAGGAAAACAGTTTAACTTTAGGTACTTCAGAAATGCCAAACTTTTGATAAATAACAGACTGAGAATTTTTTTCTTAAAATTTTGATAAGAAACTGTCAAGAAAGATCCTGGAAAAAAACCCCACCACTTCAGTCCTAATACATGAAAACTATTACCACTGCAAAAAGGAGAGGGAGGAAGATATAATTAACAAGATATTAAAAAACAAACAAGAACATACCCAACAAATAGCAAGAGAGATCGACGAGAAAAGGACAAAAACAATGAAAAAAGTTCTTTCTTGAAATAAATTTTTTTCTATTAAACCAAAAGCTCTTTCTAGAGTACCTCAACTGAAGCTGTGCACATTTTTAAAATATCCATTCATGACTTTCTTCACAACTGCAAACAGCTGAAGATTCCCATCATCTTCAGAGTGATTATGCACCATCCCCACCTTCAAGCCAAACTGTCAAGTATTTAATTCTTCCCTCCTTTATGTCCTGTTGTAATTCACAGCTTGGTTTCCTTTAAATCTAAAGTTTCTATTTTCCATTATCATTGACAAGAGGTCTCAGCTTCAGTCAGAACAACTACTTTTCGTTCAGCCAAAAGTAAAAGTAACTATGTAAAAGTAAGTACCAATATTTAACTAGACAATATAAAGAAAGCACAATGAGCACATACATAGTTGTTAGTACTAAAGAGATTCTTACTGCCTACTTTTTAGTTTGACCTATGCATAGATCTTCAATATTTTATTGTAAAACATTGCAAACAAAAGAATATTTGAAAACATCTCTTCCAATGCCATTTCAGACACATTTCCAAAGAAAAAGGGCTGAGGAGATAAAATGTATCTGCTCCTTAAAGCACATCAAGTCATGAAGTATGACAGAAAGAAAGAGTCTATTTAAGAATTAAAATAAAAAAAAAAAGAGAATCACATGTATCATTTTTGTGGCAGAACAGACTTGAAAGATTCACTGATACTGTTCTACTCAGAAGGATCAACCATGACCACACATTCCATTGCAAAGCTGAAAGTATTTCAAGGGAGAACTTCAGTGGAGGAAGATTTGAGATTCGATTGCCCTTCAACTGAGATTTCCAAGTAAAGAGACTCCTACCTATGAAACATAACATCACTGACATTTTGGACACAGCAATACCATGGCACCATCATGATGGTATAGATTATTTTTGAGCATTTCAAGCACTTAGCTAAGTGCCTTTAAAGCACTTAGCTAAGAAACAGAAATACTATTAAAATAATAGCCCAATACTATTAAAAAACCCCATAACATTAAAAATAATATATTATTTAAAATAAAATTTAACACTGTGACATTCATACAATCTTACTTTTCCGATTTTCCCTCTTTTTTAAATCCTGGAGGATTTTATCTTTCTATTCTAGAAACTGAAGGAAACAGGATTCCTTACTTTGTTCCCTGAGCAGGAACTTTTAAGGGCTTTTAAAGCTTTGCTAAGTCCTAGTACAGAAAAGCCAAAATATACCTTTGTTAGGCCAACAGAAAACTTGAGAAGCTTCACAGTCATAAGCAACCAGATTTCCTACATCTATTTTTCATAAAACCACTGTGACAGTCTGAGCTAGAAACCTGTCTACTGAATCTGTTTAGGACTTAACATTAATTGCTGGTGACAGGATGCTTATTAATCAGGTAGCCTATGTATTGAACCTGGGTGCCCCTTCACTCTTTTCCATAAGATAAATTTAAATACAACGATACTGCCAAGGCTACAAGTTTTAGTGAAGTACAGAACTTGAGAGAGAAAGATGGTAGGGAGTATGAAACTTTGTTTAGGGAACAACATAATAAGAAAAAGGTTACAACTAATAGAAAAAAAAACCAATCGACAAATCCTTTGACAGAAACCTCGGCATGGGAACCCAGCACACTGTTCTTAATTATGACTGAATGTCATAATTGTTTTGCTCCATTCTTCATAGAATTAGTATGAGTACACTAAGCTATTTTCATAGTATTCTAGTTGATGATTTAATTATTTTAATAAAATTCTGAATAATATGGCACTTATTTTGTTTTCTGACTAGTTACAACATGAATTATAAGCTTATAGGAAAAGCTACAAAAGTTTGCTATTCCAAATCAATACTAAAAGCCAGCACAGATAAACAGGAGTAGTATATCAACACAAGGTATGTGCTATTATTTCAATCTATCAACAAGGGTAGTAGTCTAATGCTTCTCTCAAAAAGCTTTTTACACTCATATAGACAGTAAAGACTTCTATAAGTTCAAAGAAAAAATGTTACCATAATTCAAGAAACTAAGGTGAGGAGAAATATCAAACTCACAAAACCAAGCCATTCTGACAAAACACAGGCAGAATCCTTGCAACCAAGAATGTAATATATTTCAATCTATCAGCACAAACTTCTTCTTAAAAAGTTTGATTTTTAAGCAGATTAAAACTGAACCTATATGCCTGACCATAGAGATATACCTTAGAAGGAGAAAAAAAATCCAGCACAGATTAATTTACTGTCATATAAAGCATGCTTACTACCTTTCAGTATTTACTTTACTACCTTAATTGTCAGAGTTCCCTATGCATAAAATGAGAAAAAAGGTAAACACTTGTTTAATGTACAGTATCTCGTTGCTTAACATAAGCAATTATCAGTCTAAGTTCTACAGCTAGTTAAGAGTTTAAAACCCATTCCAAATCAAAATATTAAAAATGTGAGTCTTGCAAGTTGTGAATATTACTTTGTTAGATCAATAAAATATCAGATATTAATATGACCAAAAAAACCCCCATTTGTTGGCCACTGAACTCCTTTTGGTTTACTACACTAGTAACAGTTGGGAAATTTCTAGTTAACTTGATCCATGATGAGTCAGAGTGATGTTTTGTCTTAAAGGAAGAAAAAGTTTCAGGGGATGGAAGTATGGAGAAAACCTTGAGTAAGAAGAGAACAAGATACTGGTGTAAAGCTAAAGCCAACCTGCTTCCTCATCCTCCTCATCCTCTTCCTCATCATCTGAACTTGATGACAAGGGAGCTGGTGCAGAGCTAGCTTGATTATTAACATATCCACCATACTGCATGCCTGTGAAGTGGAAAGCACAAACATAAGAGTCAGACAGACAGGAAAGACGTGAAACGAAAGTCACAAATCATTGCATTAAAAGTGAGAGAAATTAGCTGTTCTACAGAAAATCCCAACATGCAAAAAGTTAAATCTACAACCCTAGAAGCAATTTTTAGTGGGCTAGTACAGCAAAGTATTAGTAGCACATGGAAGTTAGCAGAAAACTTTATACATGTGTATGTGCATGTGTATCAGGAAGTTAAACACAAACAGACTTCCTATGTATCTATTTAATATCAGTTTGTCTACTGGAATACTTTCACAAATTAATACAAAGAAATGAATGAGTTATTTCCAGATAAACTCAAATTATGTCATGAAAATGTTTAGTATTAACTTTTGCTTGGCACACCTGCCCCTTTTAAGACAAAAATGCTTCATGCTGGAATTCTGAACACTGTCAGAAATGAATGAAATATACTGCTGTTGCCACATGCCAGAGTACAAACACACATACAGAGAGCGCAACGCCATCAGTGAAAAATTAAGCTAAGTAAACCTGAAAATTTGGTTTGTCTTATTTTTAAATTAGCGCCTAAATTCAGACTTATAGACCCATATTTAAGCACCTAAATACACTATTCACTTCTAATATCTGGAGACAATGCAACAACAGTTAACTCCTGTCACCTTCAAAGCACAACCTATTAGATTTTTTGGGTGTTTTTTGTTTGCTTTTATAATATCTACTCTAAACATATGTGAACAATACACAAAAGCAACACACAACTATACCATTTTAAAACAGAGTAAAGCATGCAGCAATGGCTTATAATTTCCTACATGTTATTGATGCAATTTCAGCATCTCAAAGAAATCCTAAATTTCTCTTGTAACAAGGCAGGGTTAGCAAGAATTTTAAATATGCTTGTAGTCAGACAGTGATATCCTAAAAAAATGCTAGTGATCACTGTTTGTCTCTTCGCAATCTAATGGATTGCTATGGCAAAAAAATATCCTAATTCTTCAAAACTCTTCAAAATTTTTCAGATTCTTAGGAGTTTGAGGTTTTTTTCCCCTGTAAAGCACGGTGGCACCACTGAGTAGAATTCTTGATTTTAATACTATAAAGCACCAGAGAAGTGTCATGTTATGCATAATCTGAAACCATCCTGGTAAATAACAATATCCCGATCCACCACTTAAATCAACTATATCAACCTTTATTTTGCTTAAACTGTGGGCTATAAATGCTGTTAGGTTCATGGCTTTTTTTAAGAGGGTTAGCAAATGAACCCAAGAGGAGCACTTCAATTCCACTCAGGAAAAAACAAAATAGAAAAAAAAAACAAAATCAAGGTGAAGAGTATCTATTCAAACACTTGAAGTAAAAAGAAAAGAAAGCAGAACTATATAACAACATTCTTGAGAAGCTGAACTTTCATAGAGAAGTTAGTGCAAGAAAAGAATAACATACTCCTTTATCTACTGTATTAATACTCATACAATTCCAATACAGTTCTTCCATAATTCAAGTAGTCACAATGGTGAAGGCAAAATCATCTCAAGTGGAACTGAGGACATATAGTGTTTCAGTTTTTCCATACAGCTAAAACACAGGGATAATTTGACTGATTTCTAGTCCCATCTATTATGAAGTTTACTGGATGCACTTGATAAGAAGAATACAAGAAAATCATTCCCTGTGCAAAAACAGACTACAGCTAAGGAGACTATGTCTTTTCTCAGGCCTGGGAGAGCTACCAAGGAATAAGACAGAACAACCGCATTATTGTGAAGGAGAAAAAAAACAAGTTAAAGTAATTAACATGCAAGTAAAAGGGAAAAAAAGTCAGGATGACAAGAAGAAATGCAGTGTAACAGAGAGAGTCAAATTAAAAGAAGATGCACACAACGTGAGGGTGCAAAGACAGATCTCTAATAAATATCACTCACATAGACAGGAAGGAGAAAGAAAGGATATCTACCTGGAAAGTGCATGACAATGCAAAAATTCCAAGCATGCGCAGATGAGAGAAAAGGACTGAATTAGTCATTCTACTCATGCTACTTTGAAGTCTTCAGACTATTTCTTTGAAAAAACCAAAACAACCTTCTATTCCCAAAACTCCCCTTTTTCCAGTTACTGTACACTAACATAAAGGATGCAGCATGTGTTCAGAAAGAATACAGAAAAAAAAGAGATTAAAAATACATGCTAGTGACACAGAGGTTTAGGAATCGTGAACTATGTCACTGTGATTCCTCTGGAGGCAGGGATGGTTTATCAGCCTTACGCGTTTGCGGAGATTTTCTGCCACAATTTTCTGTCTTTAGGGTACTCCTACGTTGTGCTAGTACAACTGCCCAGAAAAAAAAAACAACCCTGAGTTAAAAAGTCATTCTCAGGTGGAGAGGATGACCCATTCTAGTTCACTGCCCAGCAATGCTACCAATAGGTCAACACAGGGGACAAAACAAATTGAAGGGCAAAATGGATGGCTGCAGACAGCAGTTCCAAGTGCCATTATGTGCCTAATCATATTTTCTGTTGTGACAACTCAGTTCTCCTTAGTATCTTTTACATATTTGCCAATAATGTTAAAATCTCCCACTTTTAAAACTCCAAAAGCTAATTTTGAAACCATTATTTATTTTGAGTCAGGTTATTCCATAAATCTGGCTCAAAATGCAACCACATAATTTAAATCATCACAAATTTCTTGGACTGGAGATTTCTAAACCCTGTGACCACTGTACCTGTAATATAACAATTCTGTACTCTAAGGCTTTATCCCACTACAATTTACAGACACATAGAAATACAGGTGGGAGGACACAGAAGATAAACTGGCATAATAACTTATTTGCCCATGAAATAACCCAACTATTTACATATTTAAAGTTCAATCACCCATGTCACAGAAGACTTCAAAACATAAAGTGCACATTTTATATGGTTTAAGTTTCCTAATGGAGGCCCCACCAAAAACAAATGAAATAACTACATGCAAATACAAACTATATTCTGAAGTTCTTTAACTGTCTCTACTCATAGTCCTCATATTTTCAACCAATTTACTACAGCATTAAGATCTTAATATTAGAAATAGCAGTTCTTACAAAATGAGCCCTCTTCTATGTTCTTAAACTCTTTGTTTTAGATTAGTTTCATTTACTCATCCACTCCACTCACCAACATAAAACCTGAGGAAGTCTACAAATAACATCCAGAGAGGACACAAAATCTCAAAGTTTATGTCTGCAATGCTGTTTTCAAGTAAATTAGTTTATTTGAATTAAATTTGTATGCATAGTTATGTAAAATTAAACAGGTTTTAATACATTTTAAGGTTTATGACCTGTTAGGACATAGCCAAGTAAACAACTAGAATTTTTAAATTCTGTATAGGAATCCGCCGATAGGAGCCTAAAATAATGAAATCCACTTTAAAAATTAACTCCAATTGGTTTTTCAGAATGCTTTCATGCAGACAACAGTATTCTATAGTAATTAAAAAAAAAAAAAATCAGTCCATCTAATCTCTTCATGAGAAACACACTTGGAATTCTAACCCAGAAAAATATTCAGTATGTGTGTTCTATTTTTTCAGTACGTTCATTTCCACAAATCAATTTATCACGTTTAACTGCTGTTTAAAAAATATTACAAGAGCACAGTATGTATTTCAGACTCCTCAAATGAAACTAAGGAAGAGTCTGAAGTCTTCCAATGCTCACAAAAACATACATAAACATAGAAAGATACGTGTGCAATGGCATGTAAATGGATTTATTATTGATTATACCGATGTAAATAAAACTAGATCAATACGAACTCCTGACAACTTATCTTTATAATGCCAACATATTGTTGGTTTTAAAGTGTGCTCATTCAGCTACATATTGCATTAACCTTCACTTAAACGGAAGCATTTGAACTTAGTGAAGAATTCAGCAGTGACCGCAGTGATTTGTAGTTACTGTACCAGGTGTTCACACATTTTACAGGAATCACTGCAAGAACACACACACTGCAAGTCAAGGCAATCACAGTTAAAAAGCTAAAATCCTTTTTCTCATTAGAAACATGGTTTGCTGCTTCTTTGGAAGATGAAGCAATATATTTTTTCTAGCAAGCACAACTACAACACAAATTCTACCTATCACCAAAATCAATCACAAAACTGTGCAAGAACCACAGTTCCAGAATTTGATTTATTTTTCTTAGAATGGTATGCTGTACATAGGACTTCATAGCAATGAACAATTATTTTTTGCCTATAAGATATACAGCGATGATTCACGGACAACTTATATTCTCCATTCCACCAGAAAAAGAAGGAAATGGAATAAAAGGGGTAATTTAGATATTTATGTCAGAGGATTTTGAAATTTAAGAATAAAAAAATATGTTGTGACAATCACACACCATACTTTTGAGAATTATTTTGAACATTAGACATATCACATTCTTCTGGATAAAACTAATGCCTACTTCCACCTCTCACACAGAGTTCTTTACCTATAAGAATTTCAAATTCTAAAATTATCAAGATAAAACATGGACAAAAATTGTGCAGTAAATTAGATTTGAAATACTAGATACAGAAACATATAACAATCAAGAGGCAAATCATAACACCAGTCTAAAATTAAAATGACTGAAGAAGGGTCAACACCCAACTGATTCTTTGTCAAGATGATACCAACATCAGAATAGGGAGGAGCTTGTACAAAAACTCTGTTTTCCCACAAGAACTCTTGCAGCATCTTTTCATGGGCAGTTACAGCTAGGGAATAAAACAATTCTATCAGTTTGAACTTAAACTCAGTGTTTCCCAGTGCAAATTGCTAATTTACACTTCATTTTTCAGTACAGACTAATTACAAAAGCTACTTTTAAGACCACCTTCTAAGAAGTTAAAGTAACAAGCAGCTTTTTAGAAGAACAAGGGAACTAAAAGAATGGTTTTCTGAGCAGGAGACATGTGAGACTGCCAACAAGACAAACAAGCCAAAGACAACATATGGACAAAGAAAATCAAACGTAAGTGCTAAGAGAAGCTAGAACCAATGTGACATAGAACAAGAACACTAAGGGAGCCTGATGAGAAGCAAGAGATGTGCTCCAGTCAGACAAATACAGAAAAGCAGCAATAAAACTTCCAGCATTCACGTGTGCATGTGGAACAGAGCAGAAGTCTGTACTTTAACTTCCCATTCCCATTTAGTACCTTCCTGAAGGGCCAGCTCTGGTGACTGTGTAACAGATGGTGAAGATGAGGGCTGTGAAGAGAGGCTTGGAGCAGGTGACCTTACTGACGAGACCACAGCAGAGGAAGCAGATGTTCCAACCCCAGGCTTGGTAAATGGAACATTCTGGCTCACTGAGTGCACGGGCTGTGAAGAATCAATGCCACCTGAAAACAACAGCAGAAAGCAGGAACCCTTTGTATGTACTTGCACAGACAATTACACAACACAAGCAACCACATTCCATTTCACAGTAACTACAAAAAACAATACAGTACTTCAAAGAGAGATGCCTTCAAACAGTATATATGGATTGGTTGCTTTTAAAAATTAAATACCTGTAATGCTAAAACTCCGTTATAATGAACAAACTGCTCTGTCGACTAACAGCTAAAAAGGAAAGTATGATGTAGTAAGATCCAGACTAAGCAGAAGCTAATTTTTGATACATCCCCACAACTCTATGCTTTTACAAGTTACTCTTCCCAGTTAAGCAGAATGCAGTCTATCTGAAATAACTCCCCCTCAACATCCCTCCCACAGGCAGGAAACCTCAAAGTCTGTTGTGCAGTAGACTAGTACTCTGCCTCCTTCACACTGCTGGTACTTTGCAACTTTGGTACTCAATTATGAGACAAGTATTCCAAACAGTCTGTTTCAATCAACCCTGAGTACTTCACAGAACTTCTGATGTGTTTTAGATATCTGGACTAAAGGTAATCTGCTTTAAAAAAAGTCAGATTAATGCTTTGAGAGATTTGACACAGTTTAGTTGAAACTCCTATCAGGTAAGGACAACATAACTTCATTAAGTTAGCTCTTAACTAAGGGTCGTTCTTTGCTTAGAAACTGAAAAAATTCATATTATGTAATTCTTTCCGGAAAACCTCTGACAGACTGAGCTGTTAAAAATAAGAACAGAAAGGAAATGGTTTGACCAATAATACTCAGTAAACAGACACAGAAATTAAGCAAGAACAAAATTCACCATGTACTCATTAAAGTTACAGAATTCACTAGAGGACACACAGGTAATATTAACTTTGCTTCCTCTGCACACAGAGCTGTGTAGTTCATTGAGTCCCTGACTTTTCCTTTAATAATGGAGGTGACATCTGGAAGAACTTTATGGGCAGGTTGAGGTTGTCGAGGTTTCCTTTAGAGGGTGAAGAGGTGGCTTAAAATGATCCTTCTGCTTTTCTTGTTTACAGTCAAAATTAACAGCAAACATTTTCACTGTCTTAATGGAACTTTTATATATTTTGCAATTTTCAAATACGATGCTGAGCACACATGCAGTCTTTTCACAAGTGTTATCAAAATCAATTAATTTTCCCAACATACATACAAAGTTTCTATGAAATGTATTTTTTAATTGAAATGTACATGCTATAACCTCTGTTTCTACACATTGTCTTGCAGATTTCCAATGGCAGCATCAGCACCAGTCAGCAGAAATGTTCTTATTAGAGTGACTACATAGCTTTCTCAAGCAATATATGCAATTAAAACAAGGGAATTTCTTTGCCACATTAACGTGCTTACCCAGGTTTTGTAGCAGAGAGTTTTCTGTAGGGTTATGTTATTTTCCATACTTCAAGTCAATAGAGCAGTGCTTGCAGCACTGCTGTAAACAATGCTAAATGCTACAATGTCAGTGTCACACGTTCAAGGCCAAATAATAACTTCCTGCCAAATACTACTATCTATTCTCAAACAAAGGTTATCCAATATTCTTCAAAAGTACATGGATCTTTAAGTGTATTGTAAAAAAAAGTTTTTAAACTCCAAGTAAAAAAAAGTGTTCTTTTCTTTGTACAAAAATCCAACCTGCAAAATTACATGTTAAACTGTATTTGAAGACTCTGAAGTTTTTGAAAGCCATAAGTAACCAAGGAAACACTTGGACAAAGTTAGTACTTAAAAATACATTGTTGGTAACTATCATCACATGAAATAATCTATGGTTAGAGAAATTATGCTATCAATTTTTTTTCCTCTGGCCAGTAAGATGATTGCATGTAAGTCTGTCATATAAAAGTACCGATCAGTTTAGGATGCCTTATTTTAGCTCAAGACAAAGCTACAAGTTTCCCATCAGCTTATCCAGGACAAACACAATCAGGCCATAAAATATTCCCATCAGTTGATACCATGAGAAGTCAAGGAGTTTTGTCAGGCTGTGATAAATATAAAATCCATTCTCAGTGACACAGTATTTTCTGTTTTTCACATTCAACTCCTCTCCCCTTAAATGTGCACTTATGTTTTCCCTTTATGCCTCTCAACCATTAACATCTCTTGCACTAATAATGATCAAGTATAAATATCTACAGCTAAAAGCTATGTTACAGAAAGAATCTGCACAACTGGGCAAATTAGCAGTGCAATTCGTCATTTTTCCCTATACATCACCACAAAGTTGTTTAATTTCTCACATGAGACCTACAGGTCATAGCTAAAAAGCTTAACACCACAGTATCTTCTCAAATTTTCAGAAGAGATGCAAGAGTCATCCTTTTTGAGTTGTTCCAGCTGCAATCTTGATTTCCTGCACCCAACATAACATACAATTTCTAGTGAGAGATGTACCACCTTCCTGCAGCTTGTTTTTTAACAGCGTCCTATTTCCCCGACTTTACTCTGGACTGGCTGCAGTCCTTCCCCTTTTTTCAACCACACCTGTATTAGCAGATTTACAGGATTATAGCCTGCATTCCTATGAAACTGGGGCAGCAAGGACTTTACATCCTGCTCTGACACAACGGGAAGTATGTGCACGAGATAATGAAATTAAGAGTGTCTCCTGCTCAAGCAGACTGTCTGTGCCAGGATGCAAAGAAACCCATACCAGCCACCTGCAGGAGGAGTTCTCCATCTCCCTCTCCTCAGGGAGGAGTCCAGTAAAATTTAGGCATTCTGGCTGACATCCATGCTGACGTGGAAAGTACCAAGAATAAGCAAAGTGCACCGATTTTAGCTGAAATAAGGTGGAAAACCGTTAAAGAAAGCTACTGACCTGGAAAGACAAAAAGCCTAAATAATACAAAGTATGTTATTTACATAGCATAACAACAGTCCTGGACAGATTGTTACCAACACTGTTCTGCTGAAATACAGAATTTAAAGCTAGAGGAGGATGATTCTGCAGGATGAAACTAGTTTAAACCTCCAAGAAGGAGAAAAATTTCAAATTAGAGACATTTATATTCTACTTTATACTTCCTAAAGCAAAAAAATTATCCTCACTGGCTATTATTTCTCAAAAGCAGTCAAATTCCAGGAAAAAAAAAATCTTAAAATAAATTTATTTTCTTCTAGTGAAATCTCCACAAGCTTCACTGAAAATACTTCAGCTATTTCAGAGAGGAGCTGTCAAAGTTTTAGAAAAAGATTTTATTGCAGTTGTATGCCCTTAGTACGTGACACACAGCAGTTCAGGGGTTTGATCTTAGCAGATTCAGCATTCTGGGGGCTTTGCAAGGCCATACATAAAACTGGATTATTAAAGCAATGAAATAAAGTCCAATGCTCACAACTTTTTTGATTCAGGTAAAATATAATTCAGCAATCAAACAACTGAAAAACTCTTGCCAGCCTAAGTTTCCTAAGTAAGTCCTGTTTGAACACACAGATTTTATTAGAAACGCATCATTCTTCTACATAAAGAAGGTTTCACTCTCATCACAGATGAGAATGCTCACTGATTCCACAAAACTGCTACTGAAAAATAGCTTAAGACAGTAGTATTCTGACTGATAGTCCTCCTGTGATTTGCTTATTTATAATTCAAGGCTTGTAAGGGTTCATCTTCCACAGCATAGAAGAAATGATGGCACCCTGATTAATAGTAGGATACTATTGGCACCCTGATTAATAGTTTATTAATTGGCACCCTGATTAATAGTAGGATACTGTATCAAAATTTCTTTACACAAACAGTCACAGACAGAACATTTATGATTTTCAGTGTAACTTTTCTTTTTTTCCAAGTAATTTTGCTAAAAACTGCACACAGAAGAGAGAGCAACTGTTTTCTGTTATTGTTTCTTTCCTGGAGAACAGCAGGGACGATGAAATATTCAGAAAAAAAATCCTTCTGACAAATCATTCATGATTTCTTTATGTTCCTTGTGTATTGTACTGGGACACTTCCCAAGGATGTATAAGAACTGGCAATTAATTTTCAAGATCTAACTCCTTTTTTTTAAAGGCTGCAGACAATTAGAATACTATATATAAAATTACTCCACCCGAGAACAATAAGACTGCGCTGGGAAATATTTATGTCAGGTATCATGGGAGGCAGTTTGTTTAGCCACAGACAAATGGTTTAAAACAGTTTCAAGTGTTTAAAATGTAGTAATAAACCTGCCCAGCTCTTCCTTCAGCCTAGCTATCAGTTGCTATCTTTACTTGCTCTTTCACAGTCAGTAAACACAGAATCATTTGTGTGCTGAGGTTGCACCAGGATCCAGAGGGAAGAGAAAAAAAATTACTTTCCAGATAAATCAGTTCCACAATCCAGTCCACTGTGCAAGCTTTTATGTCCACACAGGCATGCTTGCATCAGCAGCTTTACAAGCTCAGAAAGAGTCCGAGTGTGGTTTAACTACTGATGCCCACGTTCTGGCAAACAAACCGAATACTGCAGTGTTATTCAAGTAAAACAAACAGTGGGGCACTGTTTATTTTCATAACTACAAAGTGTGTATCCATTACACACCACTAACAGCCAATTTTATCATTAATTCTTTGAAATTCAAGTGTAATATTACTATATTTTCTTGAGGCCATGCACTAACTCAGTCACCCACTCAAAAGCAGCACTGAGTGGTTCAGAAATAAGACTATCTATTGCTCATATTTCTCTTCATGGTTTGATCAGCTCCACTGTTCCACCTTTAAAAGAGTTGCTCCTTAAGAAAAATATTGCTATGAACAAATCATGGATTTCAAAACACCTCCAAAGGAAATAAAATTAATAAGCATTGAAATTAAAAAGTTCTGTAAATGAAACACTAACAGTTTGAACAAACAATAAGTTGTTCTAATATATCTACTGCAAATTGTACTATTCTGGAATTATATCTGCATTCTGTGAAGTCCAGCTGCAGATTCTGCATTCAAAGATTGAATTTTTTTGGCCAGAGTTTTAAATCTCCTGTCCTTGAAAGAATTCATTTTTATGCTCAATCATGAAATGCCACTAACTGCAGAAGCTTTTCAAGGAGCTCCCTATTTTTCTTTTTTAATCCATATTTTGTTTCATGGTTTTAAAATACTGAAGAAAATCAGACAGAGCCCCTCATCAAGACAGATTTCAAATCTACTAGTATTCAAAGTAATAAAACTGAGCTAAGGATGACACTCTACATCTTAGTCTGGGGCAGGGGAAAGCAATATTGAAACAAAATTCCAGCTATGGATTGGATGCGCTTGATTCAAGCTTAACTGCTTTCCCAGACAAAGCTTTACCATCATCAAGGCCATGCTCTTTCCTAAGTCCTTGGTCTTAGAAAACCTCAGCTACAAGAACTCCTAAAACAATTTCAGTGTTACACTATATGTAGCACAAAAAGGAAACATTCTACAGTTCTTTTAGTAGCAAGCCATAGTCTGGCACAGCATAGAAGTCAAAACTGCACGAAGTCAGAAAATTCCCAGCGTAGAAAGAAAACAAGATTCTTCCTGCATGTGCTCTCGCTCTCTCAGCTGCAGACCAAGATGTTTCAACGTGGAGGCACTCCCACATCTCTGTTCTTTTCCATGCTTCCTACTAAGTACTACCTACCTCATGAAATTGTACTAAGTTTTCCTATAAACAGAAGCAAGGGTTGAATGTACTTGCTCTCAGCTGGCACCTTCACAACTTCATTCTCTATAGCATCTCTCTATTCATCCATACTAATACTATTAAGTTGTTGCATAGAACACTCAGCTACAACTTCCTCGTTCAAATCCTTATCAAATATATTAATTAAAAAAAAACACAATTGCCTCCAATCCCATGTAGGGTTCCACTTTTTTCTGAACTTTGTGAAAAATGCATGTGTCTTCACTTGGGCAAAATTTAAAGGAACAACTTAAATCATGACTTAAAAATTATGTAGCCAGAAAAGGAAAAAAAGTATCTTTGTGATTAACTGACATATTTCAGAAGTTATACATTCATTCACAACTGCGTGAAAAAACTCCCTTCCGAGGCCACTCACATGAAAAACACACCAATAAACTAAAAGCATCCTCTAAACAGTGTATCTATCTAAATTCTGTATCTCTCAATAGAAACATGTAGCTGCTATTGCGAGGACTGAGGCAACCAAATCAGAAAAGCTTCAAGAATGAGTAAGGACAGAACTCAAAATTACAATACTGAATTTCACACAGTGAACAAGAACAAGCCAACAAAAGCATATGATTACTGATGTCTCCCAGACAAATCTGGAAGTTCACTATCCTTCAAATAATACAATACCTGTTTTTATTTGGTTGTTTACTTTTGCAACGGATCCAGTGAGATTCCTGCAGAGGTTGTCTTGAACAGACTGGGCAGATGAAACAGTTGATAATGTTGTATTATATCCCACAGGAACATGCTGTTGAAGTGAATGAGGTACAGATGTACTCTGGCTAGAAAAAGCATTTGTCTCTTTGAACTGTCCAACAGCAGGTAGACTCTGAGAGGTAAATGTCTGCCCATACGCACTGCCAGCAGCCGCAGGAGGATAGGAAACATTTGGATACATGGCACCAGAAACCACGGGCATGGCATAGTGATCAGAATTAAGGGGAAATCCCTGAGATGCAACTGAAGAGCTGACAGAAGTGCTGTAGTGATTATCAAATGCTGAATATGACTGCTGAGCACTCATGTGTAAGTAAGATGCAGATGATATTGCTCCTTGAACAGGTCCGTCACTTGACCCCCCTGTATGGGGAGGAGTTTTGTTGTACAACTGTTGCGATCCCTGTGCATTCAACACGTTGCTACCCACAGAAGGTGTCATAACATTTTGTGCTGGTGCTGAATAGTAACCAGGGTAGTAACTGGCTCTATACTGATGATCCAGATGTGAAGCAGCAGCTTTATTGGGCACTTGGGAATAGTGTCCTGAAGGCGCACTGTAGTTTGGAGGATGTGAGCCATAGCCAGGGGGAAACTGCATCTGACTCTGCACAGGACCTGAAAGAAGAGAAAATGCCACATGCATTAAAGGTGCATCTGCTAGTAGTGCCAATGGACTCTGTACCTGAACTAACAAACAATTGGTTTCTCCTTGTTTTCTGTCACTATTTTTGAGATCAATTCCCATCAGCAGCAAGAGAACAAACCAAGTATAACACATGCAGATACAATATTTGAAATAATTTGCAAACACACACAGAGAAGTAGCAGTAGAATGGATTGCTTCCATTAGCAAAGGAGGTTTCCATGCCAAGATTGTTTGCCTCCTGCTTGTACTTTTAATATTTTTAGGAGGTTAATACTTAAACAAATAGTGGGCAACTGTAAGCACCAAACTGATATTTCTAAGTGCCGAATACAAGGGTATGCCTTAAAGAAACTGCCTGAATATGGAAAAGGAAAAGCTGCAATCAAACCAGAATGTAAATATGTAACAATGGAGGTATTCTTCCTTACAAATCTTCAATGTAGTGACCAAGAATAAGTGCTGCAGGGCAGTTACATTTGTCTTTTTTGTTCTTAGGTATTATGCTTTTGGGAAAACTGACTGTCATTTTTATGAAACTACAGAGTACTTGACAAAGCATGTCCTTTCAGTTCACTGCCTGATACTTACATCAGGCATAAGAGAAACTGCCCTCTGTTACCTCTACAACTAATTCTACAACGTTACAGGTTAATTACATACTGGTCCAGCAAGGGTCAAGTAAGTGCTTGTTTCCTAAAGACCAAATGTTAACTATGTCCAAGCTGATTTTCTCAAGCCAAGTGATCAATGGTAAATCTGGAAGTTCTTCCTCATACCCTTTTCTTAATGCTATTTTTATTTTCTGGTGAACCACAAATGCATTTGTCTGGATAACTTACTTCCTGAAAATTGCCAACCCTTATTGCTTACATCAAGCTGAATGACTACGGTGTTATTTCCCACCACTGGGTCAACAAAAACACAAACACAGCACTGGCCCACTCACAAATTAAACAGCAGCTGGGGTAATAATGAATAGTTAGTTGACTACCTCCTTATATTTACAATGATTACGAACCTTAAGCATTACTTCTCTTGTATGGAAATTCTGAAAAATCACTGTTCTCCAAGTAACACCCAGATGTCCTATGATTAACTTGCAAGGCAATTTTAATAATGAATTCGTTAACAGACCCCTGTAAGCAAGGAACATACTGCCCAAAACTGCTTTCTGATAAAATTAAAAATGCTCTTTCATAATTGACAATGCAGGAGGTTGGGCAAAGAGAAAGGAACTAAAAAAATGCAGAACAGTAACTTGGACTGCTGGTTAAAAGAGACATAGAGGCACTTGGGAGAAAGCATAAGGAGCTTAAAAAAAATTACATTCAGAGTTTTGAGGAGAGCATGTAGCTATGCTTCTGATTCACCTTTTTCTTTAAAAAGTGAGAGCTGCTCTACACAGCTCCTAGTTTTTTCTCCTTTAAAGGATAATGATTTTGAGCAAGCAGGTCATTAATGGCTACATGAACTTTGCCTGACTTTTGACCCGTTTTTTTAATGTCTGAAAGAGCAAACTCAAAAATATACAACTTATGTCTGTTAAGGCTTGCTGCTCTAAGCAGCTATGTCTATTAAGGTGGCAAGAGAAGGTATTTTATCTGAGGAGTCTGTGCATTTGTTCTATTAAAATATGCAGAATAAACTAACTGAGCGGGTATAATTTAGAAATTGGTTTAGAAGCACCTGACTTCTAAATAAGAGGTTGCATATCAAATCACCTACTGCAAAGTCTTCCAGTATCTAGCTCTTGTTTAACTCCACACACAATAAGTAGAGATTGAATTATCAATACAAGATATCAGTCTCTGCATCTAGAATGCAGAGTCCTTTTTATTCACACTTTAAAGTGAAGAAATACCTATACATTTAAAAGCGCAGACAAGTATAAATCCCACAAAGACCCCACTAAGAGAGATGAGCCTAAAATTTGAAAAATTATATTTCTGATTTCAAACGGCTGGTCCTTTGAAACAAGTTTTACAATTACAGATGATAGATTACTCCCTTTATTTGAAGTGAGTTTTTTGTCCATTTGATTATAAAGAATGTGAGCAGAAAGTAATTTTTGTACTGCAATTAGTAGCTGAAGCTACTAATGATGATTAGATAATTGGTCAGTTTTGAACACTGGAAATCGGGATGCATCTTCAGTATAATTTTGAAATCTGGTTAACTGCCCAATCCGTAATGACGTCTCAGGTAATCCACCTTCTTCCCTGAACACCTGACAAATATCTCAAAAAACTCCATGAAAGAAGCTGAAAACCTCAGCTGCATACAGAAGGTGTACTTCTAAAACATCATCTCTTTAACGAAAGCCGTGAACCTCTCCTGCTACAGACAAATGAACACTTTATATAATCTTATAATGTATAATTACATTGACATTAACAGGTGAACCTCAAAAACCTTAATATTTTTTAAGGGAGGAGAGAGCCACTACACAAAAAAACCCAAACCCCCACAAAAAAAGCAGCAGTGCTATGGCTATACTGCTATGTGAATTAGTAAACCTTTGCTTGCTAGTGTCATGTTTGGTTTTTACATCCACACGTTCCCTCAGATGAATAATTTAGCCATCTGCCTCATACCCTACCTGCATGTAGTCTATGTGTCCTAGAACACCAACTTCCTTTCTATCCAAGAGCACCTGTTGGCTTTCTGAAACTTTTAACATCCCTTTATCCACCTCCAGAGAAGGCTCCCACGGCTTCCTCACACCTCCTTTAGCGATGGAGAGGGGGCAGCATCGCTGTTCCTTGTCAACTGTCAGCAAACAAAGTAGCAAATTCAGCCACTGCTGAGCTCTCCCAACAGCTCAGTCATGGAATTGATGTCTACTCCTTCATTCACCCAGCTTCCCATGTCCACAAAATATTTAGGGATTTCCTATCTTTCACATCTCTATTCTCTTTATTAAATTTAATGAAACTATCCAAAAGATCCAAAGTCAAAGATTTCAGTACAGGATCAAACTGAGAATGTTGTAAGAGAGAAGGAAAAAATAATAAAATACACACAAGAAGTTAACTTAAAAAACCCAACAAGACCTCTAAGTTATACTAAACCTAAAGTCTCCGAGGATCTCAAATGGACTTGGTCATTGAACCAGGTAAAACTTACTAATAACAAAACATCCTTTTTAATACCACTGTATGTACAACAGGTCACTTGCTTTCTGAAAAAAGCAGACCTTCTTTCATCAGACTGTAGTAAACACAAGGCTTTACATGAAAAATTCACATTTTATGAAATTAAGCATTCAAACATCCAAGAGGATGCACTAGTATTTTCCTTCAGCCAATACAGAAATAGCTCAAGTCACTTCAGTACTTTGCACTTAAACTCCATCATAGTGATGTAAAATTAAATTTCAAAAGCAATGACAATCTTCTTTGTGAAATTTAGTTTCTATCAGACAGAATGGAAAATTCTACTACAGTCTTCTTCTGTTACTATTCCCCTCTACTGCCCGCCCTATTGTAATTAAAAAAGAAAAAAAGAAGCCTCAAATCTTGTGTTATAACTTCAGAAGATTAGTACTACAAGAAGACAGACACGCCATGGAATGCTACTGCCAAATGGCACAAAATGAAAAATTCAGTTATTGACTACAAGTCATCAAACACACACCACTAAGACATCTTAAAACCACAGAAGCCAAAGTTATACAATAAAAATTCAAGACTATTATTGAAGAATGTATAAATGTCTCAGAATTAAAGAAAAAGTGTTCTGAAGTAAATAAATGTCTACTCTCTGGTTTTACACAAGCTGTTTCTAAAAATAATAGCACCAACATGGGGTTAATTAGCTAAGACAACCAACAGTAATGATGGCTGTTTAAAATTACTGTTTCATTAAGCTTAAAACCCAAAGAGAAGGTATGTCAGCTTCTATTTGTTTCTGTAAAACACACTTCCAGGTTACTGATGCTGTAGTAGCTGTATCCTGATAACAGTATGTTTTTTGATTAAAAGCCTCATAAATTGGCATTTTCTGAACCATTTTTACAAAACTCAGCATTACAATACCAGTTTGGACACAACCGGGCACTAGCATCTTAAAATCTACCGTTTAATTACCTTCCTTTTCATTCACTTCAGTGAACTCCCCAACACCTACTTTACAGGCATTTAAGTACTTATCACTTAGCTACCCCTTTGGAGATGAGAAAAATTCACGAGTAAAAAATTCTTAGGTCCTTGCCCTGCACACTGATCTGTTCAGAAAAAACACCTGTGCAGAATACAGCCAAGCTACAAAATAAAGGATTTAACAGTATGAGCTAGATCTCTATTGCAAACAAGAGGCCAAATTTAGATACCAAATCAACATTACATGGAGAAGATGATCATGCAGGGATTTTGAAGAGTCAACGTGGTGTATTAATAAAGAACTGAAAATAAGGAAGTGTATCCTCATTACTCTCATTCATAGCACAGTCAGTCTCACTATCTCTCCTTCTGAAATGCGAGTCAGTATTTTGTGACTTTAAACTATTTTGCCTTTGTTTTTCAGTGACCCACATTTCGCTGGCCCAATGCTGTTCGCTCAACTCAAATTCCGAGATCCAGTTGTGTGAACGCCTACCCACCTACTACTTTTAAGTTCATAAACAGCTAGGAAGTGAGTACTCTCACCCAAAATAACGCGATTTTCTGCCCGTTCTCACGCTCTACAGCCAGCGCCGAGGCCTGGAGGTGCCTTGGCCTCCAGAGCGTTCCTGAAACGCCACAAAGCAGGCGCCACGGCACAGGGCAGATCCAAACCCGCGAGGAGAGCGCAGCGCGGATCCCCTCTCCTGACTCCCTGTAGCGAGGCGGGGACAGGCCGCGCCTTCCCGAGTTCTCCCCGCACGCAGCCGCGGGCCCCGCAGGGGGGGACGCGCCTTTCCCGAGCGGCCCCGGCGAGTCTCGCTGCCTTTCATCCCAAGAGCTCCGTTACGGGCCGGATCCACCGGGTCCGGGCCCCTCCCGGCACCCCTAGGAGCCTCCCCCCGTGCGGGTGCAGCGCCGCTCCCCCCGGGGCCGCTCCCGCCCGCGCCGGCCCCTCACCGTTGTGGCAGTGGGGAGCGCCGCCCGCGGGGGCCGCGGCCTCCCGGGACCCGCCGGGCCCGGCCGGGGAAAACGCGGCGGCGGCGGGCCGCGGCGGCAGCCCGGCGGGCGCGGACATGTCTCCTCGCGGCGCCTCTTCACTCCGTCCCGCTTCCCTTCCCCTTCCCCTTCCTCCTCCTCTTCCTGAGCCCCGATCCACCGCCGGGCGCCGAGCGAGGCTGCGGGAGCCGCGGGAGGGCCCGAGCGCCGCGCGCGCCGCCGC